TGTCAGAGGCATTTTATTACACAATTTCTTTATTCATTTATTTACAGGACTACATTCGTTGCGAGCTATGCTACACGATGTATTATTATGTCCTTTATTCGAACACTGTATTTACCTTTCTTTGATGATTTATGTATATATATATATATATACTGTATATATATATACTGTATATATATATATATATATAGAGAGAGAGAGAGACTTCGTTATAATGGATTGTTGAGAACCAAAATATGATCCTGGTTCTGTTCAACGCTTATGCATTCGTATGGAACGATTCACGCATTATTGAAACCATTGCCTGCTAATAATAAGCAGAATAAGGACTATATACAGGCCTATATATAGTCTCCAATTCGATATCAATGTTTAATGGGGTATTTCGTAAAGCTGTTAAATCGAATACTTTAATTATTCACACTGAAAACCGACAAATAATATTAAGTAAATATTATTAACATACATGAACTAATGTTTAAAAGTGTAAAATCTGTGTTAAAATACAATCTGTAGAAAGTGTTACATCAAAAGGCGTAACTCTGTACGGTAAGCCTAATATTAATAACAGTGTAACACCAATAAGCATTTAAAACTCTATGAAGTTAAATGCACATTTAAAAGTTTATGACCGGGGTGAGTGCATATTACAATGAATACGCTTTGGATTGTTATTTTATTTTGGCTTAAGATATAATTCAATGCATGCTCCGGAAAAAAAGTCTATCTCTCCGGGTTCCAACTTTTGTTGTATTCAAAACCGTAAAGGGGCATTAACGTTTCGTTTAGCAGGGATATGACTGCTCCCTGGTTTGTGTATAGGGCATCCTCTGGCGGTGTTGCATTTACGAAGCAGTATTTTCCCTTGACCCCAGGAGGCCCCTATAGTCATTGCGCCTCATTCTGTCTCTCAAATTTGGAACCACTCTCCCCGCCACTCTCTGAGTAATCCTCATATTAATGGGTGTTTGGTGACGAGTAACGAATTTGTGTAACTGGTTTTTTTTAGGCTGTCAAGCAGAAAAAACTGCACTGGCCTATTGTATATGAATGAACTTGTCAATTGCTTATATTTCATTAAGGCGATGTGGTCCTGCAATATTATAGCGAAAAAGGAAAGGCATGAGCATTGGTCATAAAAAAGGTAATAGCAAAGATAAACAGTGAAATACTACCTGTTTGCTATAGCTCACTTCCCTCTTACCGTGAAGGCTGAGGGGTCAAAGGCTGAAATGTTCGCTAAAACCTGATATGGTAGGTCGGTTTCTTCACTATGTATTCAGGGAAATGTTCACATGCTTCGATAATACAACAGAGTGACATTAGTGTTAGTTATACAGTGTTATCCTACTTAATGCAAGAGGAAATATGGGATCTCAAAAGTAGGACCGTTATGGCCTCCTGTTTGATGTTGAAAAAACTTTGATGGCTACAAAGAAAATTGTGCACGCAGCCTGTATTTTAAACTTTTACAGTAACAGAATATGTAATTCTCAAATAACAACACTCGGTCATACGCTTCCAAATCAGATTTGTTTTTTACACATTTGTCGTGCATAAAAAAGAACCTAGTCAAGTGGACAATTATTTTAACAGGGGCGGATCCAGTAGGGGCACGGGGTACGTGCCCCCCCCCCACTCCGTTTTGCCACTAAATTTTAAAAATTTCAATGCAATTGCAAATCAATGTTATGTCCTACTCACTTATCTATTTTAAAACTGTTGTGCTCCCCGCCCCCGTTTGAACAATTCTGGATCCGTCCCTGTTTTAAAATTCACCCTGAATAAAAAAAAAACAAAAACAAAAACGTCACCATATGGTATTAGCCGGATTCTATCAAGCGTGTCGACTTCACATATTTAAGGTATGTGTATTAAATCTCGATGTGTATAGAATGAAGTGAACCACAACGTGCGAAATTTAAACAATCGCAGCATTTATAGCAAACACACCGTCTACTGTGGCTACATGTTATTACACTTCGGAATTGTATAATTTGATTTCCGTGTTAAGAGCATGGACACACACAGTGAGTTAATTACACACTACTTTGTGTTAGATTGAACTGACTTGATTACAGTCGGTGCCTGAAATTCTAAATGTTATTAATACTGGATGTGACGTAAGCCTACATTTTCATCCCTTTTACAATAATACTTCTTTGTGCTGATGCTACAGTTTTGCAGATAGACCAGGTCATCTGAATTATTGAGGGATGTTGGGTATGACTGTAGAGTACTGTATTAGATTCTAACCGAGAGGCAAAGATGTCTTTCTTGAGGCTCTCACTTAATTATCCATCGTGCTATCTTGAAACTCTGCGTTTCCGTACCCTCTCCATTAAATGTATATGAGAGGCCAAGCTATATCTTGTCATCATTTGGGTGATTGTGACCACTTGAAATCCCATTTAAAAAAACTTGGAATCTACTAACTTTTAATTTGCTTGCATAGAGGTTGCCGCTCCATTACTAATTCTCACTTACGTAAAAAAGGTAATAATAAATTGTATATTAAGGACAACATCACACTCGTCTATTTTATACAAAGATAATAAATAGTGTTTGAAGGAAAACAAAGTGTCACCCAGACCATATTCCGCATTCGAATCGAAGACCTTCTGCCGATTACTGTTCACTTTAAATTTTAATTTAAAAATTTTATTTGAAGAGTATTTTAGCGTTCCCTGGCATGTTTAGAAAATGAATGGATATCACGTGGTATTTTACTGGCTAATGCTTTACGAAAACGATATAATATCAGCAGCAGCAGTAGGCATACTATACATGACTGAATTACCAAAACACTAGAATTCATGGAATATTTCGTATATAGGTGGTGTTATAGTTTAAATCAATAATGGGTAAGTCATTGAAAAATGACGCGAACCATGTTTTTTCCGCGCCCCTTTCCCTCCCGATATTTAATTAAAGCTAATCCATACTTCCTATTTCCTATATCTGACACGTAGGACTACGAAAATCTTTGATTGATAGCAGGCGAACTATAATGTGAATCTAGATTACCGTATTCATCATAATATCAGAAATTCCTAATACGCAAGACGTTTTTAGTCATATATTAACAGGATCTGTGAAAACCCGTTTCTAATCCACCTTCACATTCTGCGATGTTGTACGGAACTAAATCAGTGATCGCAAGCGGAAGTTTGCAAACAATATTGGGTCATGACTTTACTCTATACTGTAATGCATCTCGACGTGGTGGTAATCATAACACCTATACTGTATGTTCAAATCGACTTTTTAGTTACTTACATACTATTAGTCATTCAGCAATCTTGTACTTTATAAATATAGCGTAAAGTAAATAACAATTAGGCCTATAAACAAAGCAACTTCTTGTTTCGTTTATATATGAATTTTTAGAATGAAATTGTTTGCATACATAATACCATTTTTATGTAAATTTATTTTTAATAGTTTGGTTTCATAATATTTAAAAAAAAATAATATGAAATGTTTGTAAGATTATTATTGGCCTGTATTGTAGCATTTGACCCAATTTCGATAATTATCTGCAATTATTTTGTTGAAGATTCGCCCATGATGCCCCATTTTCGATATGTAACCATTTTCAGTTGACAATATTTTGTATACGAGTGTAATTCTACGTCTTATATAAACAATTTTATTTGAAGGCATGATCGATGATATAGGCCTAATTGATAGTTGTTGACGATGGTATGATGAAAAGTTATGTCCAGGTACGTTGTAGTATTACTGGTGCTGTATCAAATAATGTCATTAAGGATGTTTGAGCTGATAATCTTAATAACATTCATTGTTTGATTTGCCTAATATATTTTAAAGGGTATATTTACATAAATGACCCAATGAAACTACATTTCAACGATCAAAATTAACGACCATCATGGCATAAGTCATAAATAAGCATTCCCGCTAGGTAAGCATATTATTTTTATTAAATACACTGTATTTTATATATTTTACATACATTAGGTTGCAAAAAAAAAAAAAGAAAAGATTTTTAATTAACGTGCTACAAGATGCCTCTGTCGTCTGTTGGTTCTACGTGCCCACAAGTCCCCGTGACTAATAATATCCTATGACTAGACCATACAGCATATATCTTTGTATCGTCAAACTACACCCTTCCTCCAAGCTCCAACCAACCACCGAACTCTTCCTATGGATACAATTAGTTTTAGCTTCCCCATTGGGGTCTTACCTTGATAGTCGTTCTTGTCCAATACTGTAGATGGCATTGTTTCTGAAAGGTAAAAACTTGTGTTCTTCTAAAAATGATTGGAAATCTGGTGCAGAAACTCAGATCGTCTGACCTCAAACTCTAAAAACCTGTTGATTTTATCCGTTAACACGCGGAAATATAAACCTCATCCGGCTGAGCTCTGCTGGTTTGTTTTGGTTTTCTTTCGTCAGTCAGTCAGAAAGGTTTGTAAAAAAAGCCTTTCCTCATCTGGACGCTACCATTAAATAACGGGGGTTGCCCATGAACCGTCGACCCAATACCATTCGTATCGTACTCAACGACTGTGTATATAACTATATCAAATGCTATTTTATTTTTTTTGACTGGCCTATATCATTATTAACGCATATGCCTAATACAGTAGTACCGATTGGCAATAATACGTAGAATTATAATTAAAGCGAAGGCTTCGGAGCAGATAATTAAGATACCAGTAAGCTGACAAAACAAACAGTATTGCAGGGTACTGAGTCTCTCGCAATAATTAATAGTCCGTAACACCAGGAAAACTTCCGTACTGTTAACCGTATGTTGGCCTATTGGCACCATGGGCATACCATGACGGTCTGTAACAAAAGTTACAAATCAACATTGTGCAGGACGGCAAAATCCAAATTAATCCACACTGTGTCCTGTCAGGTGTGGTGACGCTGGGGCGGATGCAGGATTTGGCGGTAGGGGGTGCGTGCAAAAATTTAAAGAAATAGTACCTGTAGATGGCCGGAAATGACACATTTATAATAGTAAGATTCACCATCATCACATCAACATCTTTATATAGTAAAAACGAATTTTCATGATTTTTTTTAATCGGCGATTTTCGGCAACCACAGAGATCTAAGTAGTATGTGTGATGAACCATAGAAAATTGAACTTAAAAACATTCTCTTTGATGTATTTAATTTAGCTACTTCAAAGCAGTGAGTCCACAACCACCTCCGCCCCACCATGTTGGGGCTGAGGTGGGTGAGAAAATTTGAAGAAATAGTACCTTTAGATGGCCGGAAATGACACTTTTATATAGTAAAATTCATCATCATCACACCATCATATCTAGATGAAACGCCAGCAAATGTTCTGATTTTTAATCAGGGATATTCGGCAACCACAGAGATCTAATTATTATGATTGATGTACCATAGGAAAAAAAAAATAAAGAAACACTTTCTTTGATGTATTTAATTCATTTGACCTACGTACCTCAAAGCTGTGTGGCCACATTCACCTCAGCCCCACGTTGGTCGGAAATGACACAAAATTCTTCATCATTACCAACATTTATAGTCAAAATGAAGCGCCAACAAATACTCATGATCTTTCTTCAGCTATTCGGCAACCACAGAAATCCAATGTGTGATGTACGGTAACAGAGAAAATACAACTCAACAGGTCTTTGATGTATTTACTTTACCTACTTCGAAACTGTGAGTCCACACGCATCTCAGCGCGATAATTTTGAAAATATGGAGTTCTGGGTGACAGGAAATTACACTCTCATACCTAAAAAATCTTACCAGTAATTTTTATCAACAATATAATACAACAATTTTTTTTTCTTAATAGAATTTAGGGGGTGCGACCGCACCCTCTGCACCACCTGCATCCGCCCAGGTGACGTCATGTCAAGTTGCGGCGGCGCCAGTGGCCGGGGGTAAGAGAAGTGAGAGGGATAAATAAAATAAGAAATGAAAAAAACAAATCTGCAAGAGTATATAGACAAGTAAAACTTCAAGCCTTACAAAAAATACAGTTACGTTAGGTCGACTCTAAAAAAATAAACTGACACAAAGACTAAATTATTGTATAGGCCTACCTGGCTGTAGGACCTAATTGAAATTTCGGAAAGAGTTCCTCAGCCTCAGAATGCAGATTCTATTAGGTAAAGCAATAAGTAATTTTAACTCAAAATCACTAGCAATATTTCGTCACGAGAATCGATCAACTTCAACCCTAAACAAACCTAATTCTAAGCTACTGTATTTCATACACGAAATGCGTTCATGACTTTTGAGCTTAAGTTTTTTCACACAGTTGTCTCTATAAGTGTTTAGGTAGAGTTTTTTTTTGTTGTTTTTTTTCATAAAGCTCAGATTGGCGGAGAATCTATGAAGGGCAAGGGGCTTCAAACAATACATACAAATGACCAGGGCCTCCAAAATTGGCCCTGGTAGGTTGCCGAAGCCCCCGGTACACTGACGGGGCCGGAAGATTTTTTTTTTTGACCAGGAAAGGCCCGGGGCGGGGCCTAAGGATAGTTTTTCATAGTTACCAACTTGAGATATTTGAAATGCGTGACTCCACCAGTTGACTGTGGGGAGGGGGACCCTGAAGTAGGGAGGCGGAGCTCTGGTGGGGGTTCAGGGGCAGTGGCGTATTTAGGAGTCTTGAAGTTGGTGTGCTGAAGGGGGAGCGAAGGTGAAGTGAGTGGGATCGATGATCAATTAAAGGGAGGGGGAGCTAACACGTAAAATAACGTGAATTTATGTGCTTTATAGCAACTTGTCCATCCTATTTTTGGGCCCGCCGGCGGGGGACGCGAGTAATTTTTGGAGCCCCCCCCCCCATAGATACGCCACTATCCTGGCGCTCCGACGATCTGAGCATTTAAGATGTTCTAAAACAAATTTCAGGGAGTGTTTGTTGACAATACCGGATAGGCCTGCATAAACAAAAAATACTTTAATAAGCCACGTGCAATTTGAGTTGTAATGTACACTATGCACCGGTACACAAACATTTCATTACTTAAACAAACAAAAAATTAATAGGCATAGGCCTACTGATCAATTTTTAGTACGCGTCAGTGAATTAAGTATTCACGTAAATACAGTACTGCCAATGACTCATGTTACTGCATGACCGTTTTTATATTTTTAATAAAACCAATTTCTTCTAATTTTAAATACATTTTCCTCTGAATTCGTGATAGACCTGTGCTAAATGCGTGACAAATTTATGATCAGGCATGTGTTTTTGCAAAATGCGTGTTTCAACCAAAATCACTTTGAAATGCGGGACCGTCCCGCACGATGCGAGACGGTTGGTTACTATAATTTTTGGAGCTCCCGTGGCACTGACGGCCTCCGAACTCTCGTCATTAGTGCAAATGACGATGTTACAGACGTACCGATACCTATTTGCCAATACAATGTAAAGAACCAATGCACAAAAAATATATAGGCCCTACTACATTTATGGACGATATGCACGAAAATATTATTAGGCCATAAATATTTTAAGGTTGTAAGGGGATTTCCCTAAAAAAATCCTATCAGCGATTTTGTTAATACGTAAGGCCGCCTAGGCTGGTTCGTACCTTTATTTGTAAAAATGCATTACTCTGGCGCCAGGATTTGCCCAACAGGGAGTGGGGCGAGTTCCGATGTCCCTGAAAGGTCGCCGATGTTCTTGACAACAGGGCGTGGTAGGGCGTCGCTCAAAATCTCTTTTTGAATTGGTCGATGGGCGTAGTTTCTCGGAAACTATGGCAAATGGGGGTTTCAAAGCTTATTTAATAGATTCTAGAGTCTACTTTACTATATCTGTATTATAATTACGCTTATTTCAAAGCCTGAAACCATGATAGACAACCGAGGGCCTAATAAACATCTCGGATTCGGTATGAAAATTCGAATTCCAAGTTTAACGAGCTTAAAATTCTAAATGGTAACTGGATCACAAAACATATTTCATTTCCCTGGTTTTCTGGATGTTAAATACATCGAGGCCAAACTGTTCGACGGCCGAAACGGATGGTATTCAGGCCAACTGAAACGTAAACCTTGCAATTTCTTCTAAAAAAAAAAAATATTACACAACACTTAGTCACTCGGTTTTAAAAAAAATATTTCATTATTACACATATCAAATATTATAATAAGAATTCCTTTTCACATTACAAACCTCGCACCACAGTACTGTGTTTCAACTGCGTAAATAGAAAAATACTTTAATCCATAAAATACTACCTGATGAATTTTGATTAATAGTAAAAAACCCGGCCTCAATTATTGATAGCAGTTTTTTCACCATCTGCCTAATGCAATTTTCCCACACATATCAAATATTATAATAAGAATTCCTTTTCACATTACAAACCTCGCACCACAGTACTGTGTTTCAACTGTGTAAATAGAAAAATACTTTAATCCATAAAATACTACCTGATGAATTTTGATTAATAGTAAAAACCCGGCCTCAATTATTGATAGCAGTTTTTTCACCATCTGCCTAATGCAATTTTCCCAGTATTAATACAAATTTTTCAGGAAAGATTGGGAATACATTTCAAATACATTACAGATTATAAACACAAATTTGCATTGTAACTAGCTTAAAGCACGCCTCAGTAGGTTAAAAACTAGCCCTAAAAGTTGTTTATTAGTAAATTGAAAATATAATATACAGTTTTACACTGTGTGTAAGTAAAATTCTGTGAAAGACTAAAACATACATGTGTTAAAAGGTAAAAAATTTTTAACCACATTTTATACAATCCTAAAATAACATAGCAATATGTGATAAAATAAAATTTAGCAACCAGTACATGGATATAATTACAAAATATATACTCCTATATATATATATATATTTGAAATTTATTGTAACTGAATTTCTAATAATAAAAATTTAATAACAATTATTAATACTAACATATCTAAATATATATAATACAATAATAATAATAATAATTTCGAATATAAACATACTTTTGTGACATTATCTCATGGAAAAATGTTAATTATTTCTGCAACACATTAAAATAAAAACCACAACAAAACTATGTTAGATAAATGGAAGTTTATATATGTAAGAGATTTAAGGCATTGGGCTTCCAACAAAATTGTAAGTACAAGTACTAGTAGGATATGAATAAAAATACACCCAGTGCAGGGAAAGAGTTGCATTGTGATTAATTCTATATCTAATGAAACATATTCACATAGATTTTGTGTAGTAAGGTTTAAACAAATATAACACATAGCAATTGCACATTCAAATATATACAATTTTCCAACTCATCATTCAATGATATACCAATTTTAAAGTTAAAATGATCTTAAAGATGTATTGTCGCTTGCTAATGTCAAAAAAACATAAAAAACAATTTTGAAATAAACTTGCCCATATTGCAATAGCATACAAATTATTAACTTGTGCATAAAAATTATTGAATTAAAAAAATGTGTACCCTGATTTTTAAACCAAAAAATTATAATAAAAATAAAAAAACACTGCCACACTAATTTCAAGTTGATAACTTTTTTACTACTTCAAAATGGGCAAGTTAATTTTAAAAAAAATTTTTAAATGTTTTTTTGGTATTTAGCATGGGACAATACATCATTAATATTATATTTCATACAATAATAATCAATATTTTAGATGATGAAAAAAGAAATACAACCACTAAAATAGCATGTGAACTTTATAATAGCTTGAAACATGTTTATCGTGTATCTTTTTACAAATGTTAGATATTTGTCATGTTTTCATGCATGTGCACCTTCTAAATGGCATCAAGGTTAGTTCTGTGTATAGACTGTCTTCCATAAAATTGCTATACCCTATTGCCTGTTGGTAGGGATTTGAAGTAAATGCTTTGGGTAATCTACTTGGCAGAGGGCCTAGAAAATAGAAAACCTCTAGCCCATGATTGCTAGGCTCGGGATACCTTTAAGGTAATCAAGTATAAATGATTGTTGAGAAGTTGATTATGTTTAGTGAATTTGGCATCGGAGACAGTCATGTAGTGTAACAATTGCTGTAGCAATTTTATGGAATCCCTGCCTAATATGGCCATCTTTAGGTTTTTCGCATTTTGCATCTTCATTGCCCACATTAGGGTTTGAGAAGCTGAGGTAGTTATCCCTGTTTTCACCAATATAGACCCGTTAAGGACCATTTCTGCACCCAAAAGCTAAAGTACACTTTTTTTTGGGGGTGGGAAGGGTACACCACTGCTGAGACTGGGGTGTGGTGGGTACAGTGCACATAGCCTAACTTGTGAGGTCTTCGCACTTGCTCGCTAGCTCATCCTCTGCGTTGAAGCGGCGTGTAGCAAACAGCACATTACTCCACTTCACTACCTTGCCGCTCGAGTCCATGGTCAGATCCGAGGTCTCAAACATCGGACCGTCTAGTTCATTCTAAAATTTAAAAAAAAAGGATTAAATAAACTGATTATTATTCCAAGATATAAAGGTTTATGTTGTGCTAAAAGTATTCCTAATCTGAAAATGATGACCAAAGTTCAATTCTGTTGTTTAATAGTGAAAGACAGGATCTGTACAAATTTGCAGAGATGACTCTGCAGATTTTTAAAACCTGTTGGTTTTAGGCTGGATTGACAAATTCAACATATAAAACAGGGGAGGGAAAAGTGTGGGACGCAAAAATGAATTAAAAACCCTATGTGTGCGGCCCGCCAAGCAACATTGGCTAGAAAACCCCTTGTTTTTTATGGCCTGACACATGTGTAAAAAGTAACATTAAAACTGACAGTTTTTTGGAAGCTCACTGGAAGTATCGAAGTTTGGGTGTGGCCCTCCGACCGATTTTTATGGACACCCCTGATATAAAACATGGCTTCCAGGAACTATTCTGGGGTAGGGCTTTGATTTTTAAAATTTATTTATTAAGGTATAAAACACAAAACAAAACAACAGCCAAAGGCTGAAAACGTTTGTTTACAATCAACAAATAAAGACAACGTAGGAAAACAGGTCAGGTGTAAAAATACATATTAAAATATCAAAACATTCAAATAATTACATTAGAATTGTTGAAAATTAATATATATTTCAAAAAATAGAGGAAGGTCACTGTTGGCACACAATTAGCAAACACAATTCTCTTGAAATCAGTGATGTAAACAGTGTATTATTATGAATATATATTTCCACAAATAATCACATTAACTTAACAAGTCAAAAAAAATATATTTACATACCTGTAAATTCCTTATCAGTTCCATGACAACAGTCAACATGTAATCAGCATCAGCAGTCTCTATTGCCAGTATTCTGTAATTATTCTCAGTCGGTGAGTAAACTTCAAATTGTATTCGTCTATCATCTTCTACACAGGACCAACTGCATAATAATTACATAATTTATTACCAGCATTAATTAAAGATATACTGTTTGTAATGAGCTAAAAAAATTAAAAACAAAAACTTTTGAAGTTACAGGTTTCCCTCTAATTAAAGACCACCTCCAATTAAAGACCACTTTTCTGTTGTACCAAACTATCAAATGTCTTTTATCTTTATTATTCTAATTAGAGACCAAAGGCTGCTAAAAACCATGGAAACCCCGGTCCCAAAAGTGGTCTTTAATTGGAGGGAGACCTGTAGTCTTGACAACAGTGATGGCGCCAGGATTTTCCCGACGAAGTAGCTAAAGGCCCGACGGGGGGGCTAGGAGAGCGAAGCGAGCCTCACTTGGCTGGGGGATGTCTATGGCACCCGCTTGTAGCCACGGATATTTGATGAATTATTGCAAATTTTTATTACTTATTTGATAGGCATTGAGCTACTATAATATGACTTCATGTATGTATTCTAAATTCAAATCCCACTAGAAGTTCTTTCCACACGACCAATAAAAACCTTTTTGTTGACATAATTTGTTCCTATATTCAAGTGCTGTTTCTAAACTTTGCATATTTTTTTATAAAAATGTTGACAGTACTATGCAGCAACTTTGATTTATCATAATATAATAAAGTATAGTACTATAGTAAAGCGACACATATAGGCTTTGTAATTCTATGGCTACATATTTATGTGTAAGGTTACCTGGATACTTTTCGCCATGATATCAGGAAATCTGTTTTGTCGACACGCAATTTCAGGCCTCTAACAAACAGAACTATAGAATACTTTACACCTCGGCTAAGCTGAAAATTGAATGAGGTTCAGTGTTCTTTTTCAGTGTTTTTTATCAAGTACTCTATGGTATCTTACAAATATCACTGCATTATTTACAAGCTACAAACAATGAAATCCTCCCACTAGGAAATAATTATGATGCATTTCAGAATCCTTAGAACACATTATTGTTATTACTTCATGCTTGCAGTGGCGGATACAGGATTTTGAAAAAGAGGAGCTCAGAAATGCAATTTTACAAATGGAGGGCTACTATGTTAGCTGCAACAAAGGTGAGGCTGAGGTAGTACAACATTTTATTTCTATGACACTTCTAGACTTAAATTTTAATTTTTTTTCTCTTCCTCATTTTTTTTTTTACATTTTGGAGGCTCCCCCACACCTTGAATCAGTCTATGCTAACCTATGTATACACGATAAAACAGGACTACATCAACATATAGGCAGACAGATTAATAATGTAAAGCCCCTGTTTGCACACCCTTAATTTATACATAAAAAAAACAATGTTCACAAAAATTGTGGGTGCACAAAATTTATGAAATTGTGAATAATAGTTTTGTCTCCAAAAACAATCACAAAGCTGGTATACAACTGATACACTGCCTCAATAAAAAATTAATTTTTCTCAAAAACACTTCATCGCAAAAACTATTGTAACTACTACTTATACAGGTAAGAGGCTGACCTGGAAGGATTTAATCTTGAAATCTTGGCTGAGGTAACAACTTTTGATTTCCACAGCAAAGTAATCTTCAATATCCTGACATATACTTACATACTTAGTGTAAGTCTCAGATGTAGGGGCTACTAATTCTGGGGAAAAAACAGCAAAAAGCAGGAATAGAGATTAAAGGAAAAAAAATTATTTTTCTACGTAATTATTTAATTAAGGGAAATAAATTTGTATTTTAAGACAAAGTTAAGAGAATTTATAATTCTATTAATCAAATTTTAGATGTGTATAAGAGACAGCCAATATATATATAGAAAAAAAACATATTTTAACAAAAGAAGAAATGAAATTAATGATGTTGATAAAAACCACACTGAAGATAAACAAAAGTATATGCATTGTTTTCTGAAACTGTTTAGTGTTCTCTGCACTGGTGACAAGTTATGCTTTAATTTGCCATGCTAGTTATATATGTGGCAAAGACAAGCCAAAACAGTCACTCGTCGTAAATCGTGTTTTAGAGAAAATGGCGAAAACCTGCTTGAATGTCAAATTTTAAAAAAATATATTTTATTGCACTAAACTAATCTTTATATATCTATACATCATGCTATGCTGTTATTTTTCACATTTTTAATGTTAAAACAACACTTTTTAAAGATTTCATGATAATTTCTGCATGAGCTTTGACAGCTGATTTGACATATTTTGTTCTTTAAGCAGATGTATGTTTAAATGCTTGTAACTTCATAAGGAAATGTCAGATTTGAATGATTTTTTTACCATTTTATAGCTCTTATTTTACTATCTAACTCTGTATTAATAACTAAAAATTGATTTTTGCGACCAGTGACTGGTTTGGCTTGTCTTTGCCACATATGCTATTGCAATATTGTTATTGCATACACTTTGTATGAAGTAAAATAAATACTGGTAATAAATGTATGGAGTTTGGAAGTACATTGACGGAAGTGTTTTAATCTGCATTTTATTTTATTCATTTAATCCCTTAATTGTCTAATCGAATTTGTAATGTTTTTTTCGTATTTCACTACAGATGGTACATCATTATTTACACTGTTTGGAAGTACATTGACAGAAGTGTTTTAATCTGCATTTTATTTTATTCATTTAATCCCTTAATTGTCTGATTGAATTTGTAATGTTTTTTTCATATTTCACTACAGATGGTACATCATTAATTACACTATTGCCTATTCAATTTAGAATTAATTTTTTGTCTTATGCTGGTATTCAGCAATTCAAATGCCAAATCATTTACCATCAAGTTTAGCCTTTGTTTCGTCATCTGGCAGCAACCTTCCAGTAGCCACATCTTGTTTGGCTTCATGATATAAAAGGAGTAGAGCGCCCTCTATTTCCATAAGAATTTTTTCATCTTCAAGATCAAAGCACCATTTTCTTAGAGTCAAACCTTGACAACAAAATCAATTTCTTTTGTTTAGATATAAATAATGATTCCGCATGCACAACAAATTTATTGAAATAAAAATAAAATGTATTTATTTTGAATTCACCACTATTGGTTAAATACAAAAAGAAACGAATGTATAATAACCAATTAATATCTAAAAATAACCGAATGTATAATAACCAATTAATATCTAACAGAATAAAATCTCAGTATTTTATGGACTTCAAGTACATGGATGATGTATTATACTATCTGAAATTAATCAGTAGACCTTTCAGTTAATAGACTTACTTTTTTGGTATATGCTATTGAAACAATAGAGCCACCTCATCATTTATTCCATTATTTTTATGAGCGTACAAAACATACGATTTTTAATGGATGCTTGCGCTTAATTAAATAAAGTTATTATTATTATTATTATTTGGTTGTCAGTGTATACATAGGCCTATACATTTTTAAAGAAAATGGGAGAGGCTGATAAAATGTGATCTCCCCCTTGAGGTCAGGGTTCGAATCTCTTGCCGTACATTTAAATTGGCTCTACCCAAAAGTATATGATTAAGTTCAGAAACGAGCGGTTTAAACTTGTGTGCAGCATAGTGAATGCCTGTATTAATGTGCTATCAATCTTTAGTGCAGAAAAACACCAAACAACAACATAAATTTCATTGCAGTCAAAAAAATGAATTGGGAACACGTTCTTTTTTTTTTAACAAAATAGAAATAGAGGTAGGAGAATAACCCATAACTTGCAGCATCATTGTGCTGAATTGCGTATGGGCGTGGTCCGTGACTACCTAGCAGCCTTATAAAGGTGTGCTTCATAGTAGCTACATGTTCACATCATTCCACAACGACAGGGGCAGAAATGAACCATAACATTGGGGTAACCACCTACTCTTCCGAAAGATGCAACAGGTTTTTTTTAAAGTGCACATGAGTCAGATGTATACATTGGACCTCCATTTCAAGTTCTTATCCGAGAAGACTTAGTTCTACCAACTGAACCATGGGCAAGGAGCGGCTGTTAAGGATGTAGCTAGTGGCTCTCCTGCCTTACCACTCGACCACTCAACTTGCCCAGTCCAGGAATATTGAAAACTTTTTTATTAAAGGTATTAAAAAGTTTACAATATTCCATCAACAGACCAAGATTAGCATACACCATTGTAATATGATGTCAATTATTTTGAACTTAGGACAGGATTTGACCAATCACAAAAAATCATGATTACAAAAATCGATATTTTTGTGATTACTTGTGTGAGTGCTGCATTAATCACGCAATATTGAACATCATACGAGCTATGCTATGCAATAATGCATGTCTACTGTTAGTTACCTCTGGCATATCTCTCAGGCCAGAACATAGCTTTTGTGGGTACCTAGGTTAGAATGGGCTGATTAATTGCGGCAACATTATGGAATGCTTCCCCAGAAGTAATAATGTGAAATGCTTAGAGGCATCGGCATGATGTGCTGTTTAAGAATGATATCATGTTTATTATTATCATTGTGGCAAGTTGGTTGGTCGAGCGGTTAAGACAGTGGAACCGTGACATACAGCCATAATATCTGCTTTGGTTCGAACAGCACGCTTGCCTATGGTTCCGGTGGTGGAACAAGTCTTCTCGGATAAGGACTCTAAACTGTAGGTCCAGTGTACACAATTGGCTCGTGTGCACTTTAAAGAACCCAGTACATCATTCGAGAAGAGTAGGGGGTTACCCCGGTGTACTGGTCCATTTCCAGTCCCCGTCCGGCCACAGAAGGAGCACTTACGTCGCAGCCCATGTCAGGTATCCATCCTACCTGCGAATCCTTCGACGACACTACATAAGCAAGAGCATACACACTAGCTATGTAGTGACTCGATAAGAAGATTATCATTGTTGCTCTCATTGTGTTTTTCTTGTTATTGTTTAATATTATAATTAAAGAATATCTCAAATTATAAACAACAACCATTTTATTGTATACTCTATACAACTATAGCAGGAAAGAGGGGGTGTCATAGGAAAATGTTTTGTTATCAAATTTTCTGAGCTAAGCATATGATTTCTTTTATGTCACCTAAGTTATCTGTATCATCTTTCTTACGTAACCTACCTTTGGTTTCCGATGAGATATATTCAATATTTTTAAGTTTCCTAAATGAATTTGCAGATTCTTGAAAAAGGCCAAAGTACTTTGCCAGGTGTTGGTGAATACCTAATAAAATATGAATAGTAAATTTTTATGATCAAAACACAAGTAGCAAAATTATTAATAACAACGCTGTTTACAGTTATAATATTTACAGTGAAGCTGATACATGGTGGTGTGAGCTTTACTTACCCAAGCTTTTGCAAGCGTTTACAAGAACTTTTTCAACAGTCGTTGTTGGTCCAGGCACAGGTATCTGTGGTGTGATTATAAAAGTACACTAAAGATTTAAAATATACAATATTGACACAAAAAAAATAATACAATGAAGATTTAATTTAAAAACTTAAGTTCTTATAATACCGTAGTGAAAATATAAGTTAAAATTTACAGGTCAACTTAATAAAATCCATTGATTGAAATTTGTCTTGGATGTCACAAAAAGCTAAATAATTACAGTAAAATTAAATTAACATAAATTAATTTTTTTCAATGTAAAACAATTCATGCATTTGTCATGCATTTGTCATGTAACAAAATTACTTCATTAGCTTTGTAAACAACCATGATTGGTTTTAAATTGATACATTTATTATTACTATATTAAAAAAACCGATTATTCAAAGTTTTTGAAAATTTACAGGATATATTAAACTTATAGTTATATACAACAGCAAACAATACACAAAACTAATAGTAAGAGAGAACAAAAATAGCTAACTGTACTAAACAAGATTAATAGAAGAAAAAAAAAATAGGACATAGGACAAGATAGGAGAGAGCTCAAATCATTGTCAAATATAATCAGTCATTATAACTGAATATATTATAAAATATGGATGTTATAAACAATATATAAATAATATGATCATGATATATAATTAAAAGAATATACATTAATTAAAAAAAAAACACATAAACTGACAAAATCTTTTAGATGATGAAAAACACCAAACCTTCAATGTTTTATCAGGTAAAATTAATAGAGAAACTTTTGCATGCATCTCAACAGGTATTTGGCTGACATTAGCATCATCATTTGCTTGAAACAATGCAGACGACAACCGCTTGGAAAGACGTTTCAGCATTTTTAATTCTTGAATGTCAGATTTCCTTACCAGCAGTAGAGTACTGTAGTACTGTAGCAGTATTTAATTTAAATTTGATGGCAACAGGAGGTCTAGGCCTAAATAACATTTCAAAAAGAAAGATTAACAATTTTAATTTTTTTGTACAAACATGAATGAATGGGCCAGATATCTTGTACTGTAGGCTAGATCCATATAACAACTCTCTGGCTAGGCTTAACCTAGGGAGCACTGTAAGGCCTGGCCTAATAAAAGAAAGCCTAGAGGGTTAGGCCTACCTAGCCTAGCTAGCCTAATGTATAGAGTAGGCTAGCCTAGACTTACAGTGTACACTATCAACTAGGCCCTACTACAAATAATCTACTCTCTAGGCCTAGCCCTAGAGAGTCTGGTAGCCTAGGTTTTCGAAGACTTACCATAGACGCAGTTGTTTAGAGCATAAACATCATAATGTATTACTCAATTAATATTTTACAATAATAATTCGTTCCTTTTTGATGAGCACTCCCTCTCAAAACAAACCAAACAAAAATTTATCAAAACATCGCGTCAGCGAAGAGGGCTGCTTGAGCTTGAGCCATAATTTATTACGTCATTATACGCGCGTCGCCTGGACACACCTCCAAACCTGACACGCCTCCTCCCCTCTCTAATGAAATGATTGACATCATCTTCATCATTACAACTATCGGCCGTCCTATGGCAAAACACTTGAACGGCCATAATAAAAGAAAATTTTCTTCATTTTAAAAAAGAGTTAAAGGTCACTGTCAAAATATAGTAGTATTTAAAGTCCGGCTCCGGAGGAAAAAATAATTTTGATTTGTCACGAGGTTCCACAACTGATTTTATCAGGCTCCGAAGGTTTACGTTGATATATTGTACAGAAGATTTTTCCAAGACACAAAAAAGTATATTTGACAAAAAACTCGGGAACGGCCAATGAGATACAGATTTTTTAATATTTAAAACCTTGGGGAAAATGGGCGTAACCACCCATTTTCTACCTTCCCATCCCCCGTTTTTAAATATTCAAAAATGTGTATCTCATTAAAGTCAGGCTCCGGAGGAAAAAAAAAATTGATATGTTGTAGCACTGATTTTTCTAAGACAGAAAAAAGTTGTCTGTCGAAAAACTGGGGAACAGTGAATGAGATACAGATTTTTGAATATTTAAAAACTGGGGGGGGGGGGGTAAGTTGCCTAACCGCCCTTTTTTACACCTTTTCCCCCAGTTTTTAAATATTCAAAAATCTGTATCTCATTCACCGTTCCTCAGTTTTTCGTCAGACAACCTTTTTCTGTCTTAGAAAAATCAGTGCTACAACATTATCAAAAATTCTTTTTCCTCCGGAGCCTTTTAAACCGTTGCCGAGTTTTTCGACAATATGCTTTTTGTGTCTTAGAAAAATAATTTGTACAACATTTCAACATGTTTTTTAAAACCTCTGGAGCCTGACCTAACTTGATTCTGCTAATTTCTTCTTTTTTTTTTTTTTTGTATACTTTTTTCTTTTGTAATTTGTCAATGGGCTGATCGACAAGCTTACTTGTAGGTTGGTCCCCTAGGGGATGCTAGGTCGCAAAATATAGGTGATAAGAGTCTATTTTAACAACTTGATTGAGCGTGATATTTTGTTTAGACATTTTCAATGGGGTGGTGGAGGGAGGGGGAACGTGAGCTTTTTTTGGGTGGGGGAGCGTGTGCATCACTTGCTAGCATGTGTTATATTATTTCTCTCTCATTATTTATTTATTTTTTTGTTTGTAAATGAATGGTTTCGTTAAGGTTTTTTTTTGTTTTAGGCCTAGGCCTAATCCTTCTTTTTTATTTTTATCATCACCATTATTATCACCATCTTCAACACCAACACCATCATCATTAATTGTAATACACTATCTTATCTTCATCAAACTCTATCCATTTATCTGTATTCTTTGACTTCTGCACAAATTTTGTTAGAAGAGTGCATTTTTATTAAGGCATCTATTGAAAATATTATTTTGTTTAATCGTTAATTTCTAGTAAAATTATATGCATAATTCATATTTTCAGTCATAGTAAATTATAATATTTATTTTATGCAAAATTAAATCTTACAAACTGACAAAAGTTAGGGATTTTTGCAATATTATGTAAATATACCTCCCCACAATAGTAATAGGATTTCCTTTCACCTTTTTAAATTCATCACAGAATTGAATGAGTTGGAGGTGGTACACGCTGGTGAAAACTGGTATGGTGTTGGTGCTCTCTTGTGCTGCTTGTTTCTGGTACCTGGTAATGGGTAAAATGACACGTTGACAGGGTCTCAGAATATTATTCTCCTCTCTATAAGGCCTAGGTTCCTGTCATCGGCACCGTTTTTTATACACGGTAATTATTTTACACTCCACTCTTTCAAACGTCAACAAGGTGGCCAGCATCCTGAAATTGGATGTAGTACCTAGTAGTAGGCCCTTGGCCTAGTAGAGCCTAGGCTTAGCCATGGCCTTCAATCTGTAGTGCAAATTCCCTATTCTACTGCTAGCTAGCTACCCTGGTAGGACTTCGACAGGAATGGAGGAGGTCTTAGATTTGTGTGTCTGGAAGGGGTTGTTGATATAAGCATAGCATGTATGTGCAGGCGAGAACTAGGCCTAGGTCGAGGGCCAACATCTAGATGTGTATAAGAGACAGGGGTAGTACCCCGGGGCCCTGGCCCTACAGGCAGTGGCGGTGCCAGTGGGCAGTGGGGGCTTAATCCCCACCGGACAGGTCAAGGGGCCCCTCCGCCGGACAGAGCTCGTCGGCGGGGACCATAAAACATATAAAAATAGGCCCACACCAAGCGCCAACACATGCCTGTCACAGTCTGAGAGTGCCATTTTCGGCCATCCAGAGGTTGATATTAAAAAAAATCTCATTTGGGAAGGGGACCCCCCTCTTAACCTCTTTTTCAGCTCGAGCCTACGAGCTCAAGGAGCCTACGAGCTCAAGTCCCCCCTGTCAGACAACTTAGCCCCCTCAGAAAATATATCCTAGAGCCGCACTGCCTACAGGGGCTGGGATGCTAGGTAAAAAAATAAAAAAAGACAATAAGAAATTATTAAACATATACATCATCCAGTGTCATTCATGTGTTTTCCCTATGAGACTTGTAAATACAGTATAGCTAATCGTTTATCGATGAAAGCTCGTAATTAATCGCTTCTAATTCTTTTTCATGAATTATTTTATGACATCTACTACTCTAGAATTTGTTTACAATGTATCAATTAGTAAATTCTTTGCATCATGAGTGGATTTCTCGCACATTTAAAAATTGTAATGGTACTGGGTTTGGTCTACAGGATTTTGTGCTTCGATCGGGTCATTCCATCTTTATGGAAGAAGCCCTTTGATGGAGAAGGTATACCCTAACAAAGGCGAATAGACCAGATAGAAATTCGATTTAATATATTAAAGGTTAAAGGTTATTCATTTATATTGCGCAAAATACGAGAGTCTATGCGCAGAACAAGTTAGCAGATGTAACTGGAAAAAAAAGAAGAAAATCCAAGCCAGCACCCAAACCGTAGTATGGGGATACGCCCTCATCGCTGAGCAGTGATCTATCAAAATGTACCCTGTCCAGCACCAGTTGCATCTCGGCCATCCCAGGACTCAGGCGCCTCCTATCCTGATAGAACTAAAAACGGATTTAGCCTGTGGGCCGGGGGCTGAATATCGGGCTGTAAACTTTTGATGTTAAGCATTTTTTTAGCACTACGTTTCAATAAAAGGAAGGATAGCTTTTACTTTTCATGTTTCTATAAATTATTTTTAATAACCTGGTGAAATCAGAGAGTTGTTATAGTGTTCTATAATTGATTAAATTAGTCTTCTAATCTGTTAAAAGGCTGTAGCTGGATGGGCCCACGGCTACTCTCGATGGCCCTGACTAGGCCTAATTACATTTGGCTGGGGATGTTGAGGGGAGCAGAGCTAGACATTTTTCCAGAAAACCTGTTTCCCACAAAGCTTCTTCTTATCTAACCATGGCAGTTGGCAAATAAATAGCAAAGGCCAAGGGACTGTCAACGGTCCCACTCCCAGATATAGGTGCAGGGATGAAGGTCCTAACAAATACACATGTTAGTGTTTTTCTGTACTATTGTGTATGCTCACGCATAGAATCGTATTTACTGCGTAATACTTGTATATTGAAACATATTTTTGAACATTGATTTCGCACTTTTTGGATTCAAATTACTATAATTTAGCTGTTTTCTTCTGTTCAGCCTTACACATGTTTGGCAGTGGCGTTTCTAGGGGTGGGAAAGCTCGCTACCCCCACAAAAATCTAGACTTCCCCGTTCACTGCTCAATTGAAAATGTTTCGAAGCAAAAAAGTCATACTCAAGTAGTTAAAAAATCAGCTACATCAAATGAACTTTAATGGAATTGACATACTTTCAATACATAAGTAAAGCCTTATTAATGTACCTGTACAGTATCATATTTATCTGGATCCAGATAGACTTCCTTAGATAGGGTCAGTAGCTTGTTCAAAATTTTTTTTTTAAATCAGCCGATTCTACCTAAGTGATCAGTTTCGGTGACAAATAAAATGCTGATACACTTCTATACTGGTGACAACACCAGTCATCAATCATCTGATCAGAATCCCCTAATCAGGTTTGGTTACGGCATCATGAATGTTGATGTCACCGAAATTGATACTTATCAGATCTATTAGGTGGAATCGGTGAAAAAAATGGAGATATAAAGAAAATTATATTCAAATTTTAAGTCTGAGAGTGGAATTTCTAGCCATAATCACAAGTTTTCTTACCTCAGCCCCAACCATGGTGGGGCTGAGGTGGTATACTGTATATCCTCCATCTGCGAAAGTACCTCCAGGGCCCCCTCTATTGTGCATCCCTGGATCTGCCTCTGAGGGTATCAATATTACCTCAGCGCCACCTTATTTTGTGAACTAGCGCCCTTTCACCTAATTATTAGGCACATCCACTTCACCTTCAAGCATCCCATCATCGACATTCTATCCCAACAGCAAGTGACTCACCAATTGTTATAGTCAACTGGTTGTTATAATTTGAGAAATGTGTTTGGTCATATCTTGTCGGATATAGACTGGTGTAACAAGTATCGTATCTTATTCCCTGTTAGGTGTGATTCATTTTCACCCTACTCTGGTAAGAAGGGGTACATATCCTGCCTGGGGGATGAATTCACTAATGTTAGCTTTTGGGAGAGGGATGGAGGAGGTGACACTGGTTTTAATTATTTGTGGTTTAAGCAGTTCTGATTGTTTGTATTTTGCAGGTTTTACTGTCTTGATTGAATTGTAGACATTATGAACCAGTTGTCGTTTAGAACAGTATTTAGGGTATGGCACCGTGCTAAATCTTTCTACCGGGCCACACCTGTCAGTTGTTATAGCACTGGCAGTGGTATTGAAAGTGAGGTACCCTACAAGACGTTGAAATCTGAAAATACAACTGCACCGAATTCAGTCCCAGAAGAAGCAGATGTGGTGATCATAGGGGGCGGAGCTGCAGGATGCAGTACCTTATACCACTTAACAAAACTAGGAGTAAAGAATGTGGTTTTGCTGGAGAAGGATCAATTAACGGCGGGAACCACATGGCATACTGCAGGTATTTACATGTCTTGCAGGATTATAAATTCTTGCTCTCTTACATAGATACTGTAAAAGAATCAAGATAGGCTTACAGTAAGACATTGTTTGCATGAAGCTCTATAATCTAACACAATATTATTATTGTTACTAATGATTATTATTTAAAGATAGTATCAGAAATGGTAATGTAATGTTACAGCAACAGCAAAAGCTCTCTTAACAATCAGACATCGATTAGCGAATTACTCGGGAAGGTGCCTGTAATAGGAAGGTACAGGGGAGTAATGTGATGTGCAGCGCTGAGCTCAGCATCACAGTATTTATGCTATGTTTAGCAAATCTCCCATGGAGGATTATTTTCTTGATGTTGACAACAACTTTTGGAAGTATGCAACACTGAAAATATGGACCAGCGCTATTTCTATGTTTAACTTCGCAATAGGCATACAGTATAGCCAAAAATACAGTTAGTGTGTTTTGGAGTGAGCAAAAATTCTAAATTTCCTCTGGTAGAATGTGTAATGTACCCAGAGTTCACCAGCTCTTAAAATTAGGAAAAATGTATATCCAGTAAAAAATCGCTGGCGCTGTAAAATCAGAGTCGGAATTTAAAATAAATCAACAAGGCCCAGAACCTAAGTCACAATAAAGGCCCATAGAATACCTAGCCTGCCAGACATATCCTGATGAAAATCACAGATTTAGTAATTGAACATAAATGCTGAACATTTTAAGATATATTTTGAGGAATAATATGAATTAAGGTTGTAAATAAATTAAATAGATAGAATAGAACCTGATTAAATAGTAAAGAGCAACTGACTCGAGCGACCACCTGCTAAAGCATCTGTTGAGAAGTAAGCATGTGTATGTGGTGTGAAGATTTAGGGATCTTCTTAATAATTCAACACTTACCTCCATGAGGTAAGAAACTACCTATCAGCATGTTGAAATTGGAGATCGTCTTAGAAGTTCTGTTTTTAAAGATAATGTATCTCTAGTACTTGTATTTGTCATGTAGTCAGATATGTAATTGTTTTTTAAATGCTTCCAGGTTAATGCTCAATGCTGTCGACCACCAGTCGCGCACTTTTTCTGGCACTGCCCCTTGTGGAATGACCCTTTACCAACATCTATATAAAATGTTTTTCCTTGCTAAAAAAGGGCACTCTTCATTTCAGGGGGTCCAGGCGTCACTGACCCCCCCACTCTGAATTTTCCTCTGAGGCCTTTAGTGTTGTTAATTATATCTTTTTGCTAATGAACTATTATGTTTAACAGGACTACTTTGGCGGTTGCGGCCTAACGACACAGACACAATCCTTCAAAATTTCACCAGGTCCCTGATGAGGTCACTTGAAAAAGAGACGGGAATAAATCCAGGATGGATAGAAAATGGTGGAATCTTCATCGCATCTAACAAGGAACGACTAGATGAGTACAAACGAATGATGACTGTGAGTACTTTAGCGTTCAGAATGACTGTGTAGTGTTGAATCTAAGGTTAGTGATGACGGTGGTTACTGTAGATCAGTTGTCCCCTGAGGGTAAATGATGGCATTGTTGGGCACTGTAACATGTGCATTACAATCGCCTGTTGCTAAACATGGATGGAGCGACGCAGTCATCACAAATCTAGTTGAGAGCTTCTATGTAACGAGCATGATGAGATTCATGATTTCAAAAATGAGATATTATGTAACTGAGTATGCTAAATTATTAAAATTTAATTGTGATGTTAAGTTCTAAATATTCCACTACAAGTCTGTCTGTCTGTTAAAGTTTAGGCCACAGAGGTCCATATTCTAATCTAAAGCTCCAGGATCCAGGGGTACACTGTATGTTTGCTAAAAAGTTTTGCCCTGAATGTCGAAAATAAAACTTTAATTTTAGAACACATAAACAAAGCTCCACCAACTCTTCTTTCTATGTGTATAAAAGTTGTTTGATTTTTTTTTAATGTTAAGTTTGGGGAATGGGGCTTATTCAGCTACAGAGCACTGTACTATGTATTATCTCATAAGGCCCAGCATTTCTTACACATACAAAATTTGTTTAAACGTCAGATACTTCAGTACCATTATTATTGATAATAATGAAAGCAAATAAATAATGAAAAATAAACTTAGGATCAATTTGATTAAATATGATTTTACAAGCAGTTGCTTATTTTAAGGTACAGATAGGATCAATATTGTGTTGTTAACTATTAATTAAAGTTTGTATCAAAATTATTTAAAGTTACTACAATATGATACAGGTGAAGAAGTTTTGACAAGCTTTAAGTATACTTTGATTAAACATAGGAATTTTGGATTTGAAAGCAAGAATCTTACATTCAACACAAATTCTCTGTGAAAAAAAATGATTATTTGAGATATATATATTGATTCGATTTTAAACATTTCTAGTTGGGAAAGGCATTGGGTGTTGAGTCTCATGTGCTTAGTCCAGAGGAAACGAAGGATTTGTATCCACTGATGAATGTAGATGATATGTATGGTGCCCTCTACAGTCCTGGTGATGGTACCATGGATCCAGCAGGTTATTGTACAGCACTAACAAGAGCGGCTACAAAAGCTGGTGGCACGGTAAAATTTGTTATAAATGACTATTGTAGTATTGTTTAGCTCACTAATGCACCTGCAAACCGCTGCTTTCCGGTGGTCTGAAATTGATGGTAAATATAAGTAATGTGATTGAGTTTATTTGGTTAGCATTAGTTAATGATAATTTTTGTGTAAAGCGCATTTGGGCAATGTGCAATACGCGGTATAGCAATATTATAAACAGTATTATCATTATTAGGAATGACTTGTTAGATTTGTGGTGTAAAATGTATTGTATTCTTATTGTTATGCAGTAAAACAGCACTCTGAGACATATTTATAGTGTGCTATACTATGTACTGATGTAATAATATTACTATTAAGTTAGGTCTCATATTCTGTAGTTTGAATGGTGCACAGACGATGCCCTATCACAACAATCACAGTATGAATACACTCGATGTTAGGATGTTTACATTCTAACATACATGGGGGATGAATCTGTGCTAATTAATTATGTCAGAATTCAAATTGATTGGAAATAACTATATTACATGGTACTGTTTTGCAATTTTTTTTTTGTTTCATTTCTCTTTTTGCTAAGAGTGCTTTAAGGCAGTGCTTATGCGCTACATTGTCTTTTATCACATTTGAATTAAATACAAATTCAGATGTAAATATACATGCACAATTATAATTTTTCCTTGATTTGTAAAAGGTGATAACAAATTGTGAGGTGAAAGGTATACAAGTAAAAGAAGATGACATGGGTGTTCGTCGTGTGGAAGCTGTGGAGACATCTGTTGGGACAATTCGTACTAAAAATGTGGTCAACGCTTGTGGTAAGTAACTACTTTACGTATAGTAGCATGTAGAATTTTCCATATTGAAAATTAAGTTTGCTTTTTGTTCATCCTGTCACCGACAAGGGTTTTGGCTTGTCCTTTGTACATATTTTAAAGTTTTGGCAAAATAAATAAAAAGAAATGGATGTACACTTACATACACATGATTTGTTTGTTAAGTAAAACATGAAGGCAGTGACTGTGAACTTGTTGTAAATAAATGGTGTAAATATTTTGCCCAATTATTTTCATAAGATGTTTACTACAGAATAAATTACTATAAAATATTCACAAGGTGTTTAACATCTACAGAGTGTTCACAGTATTTCCACATATTAGTAGTTTTTATATTTATTATTTGAATTTTACAAATATTTTTAAACCTTTATTTATATAATTAATTTTTTAATTGTGTTTATATTTATTTTGATACTTTCAATAAATATTTATATTATATTGTTTATCAATTAAATATTTTCTTTTAGGTGCCTGGGGTCCATACATTGGGGCCATGGCAGGAGTTAACGTGCCTCTGCTTGCGATGCGACATGCTTACATTGTATCGGAGCGTATCGAGGGAATTCAAAATATGCCGAATGTACGAGACCATGATGCTTCCCTGTATCTAAAACTTCAAGGAGACGGGCTCTGTATCGGAGGTTATGAACCAAATCCAATTTTCTTGGAAGAGGTTAGTACTCTTTAAACGTTTCCGGATCTCAGTATCATGATAATTGTGTGCTGTTTGAATCATGATTAAAGTCTGCGAGTCTCAATTCATTGTTGATAATAAGTTAAAAAAACAGGCTCCCAGCTGGAGCATGTGTCTATAATATGGATGAAAATAATGTCATACACACACTCAACACCCAGTCCTTCCCAAGCCCTTCCCCACCCAATCCCACTGACATCACCATTCTAATACCATTCATACTCCTACCCACATGTACCCACCTTTTATAAATATACTCCTTTTATCTTACATTTTTATTTTAACAGAATGTAGTTTTCTACCCTTTCCAAACCCTGATCCCAAAACCTCTGCACCTATGTTACATCCCCACATATCCTGGTCCAATACCCTTATTCTTCCCATCCCCATACACATTTCTCCCATTCTACTCATTAGCTTTCCCCACATGCATTTGAGGTATAATTCTACATTTAGAGATCATAATACATTTAATGATCATTTATTTTCATTCAAAGGTCGAGAAAGACTTTTCTTTCTCATTATTTGAACTTGATTGGGATGTTTTCAGTGTGCACACTGAGGGCGCCATCAACCGGGTCCCAGTCATCGAGCAGACCGGTGTTAAATCAACAGTGTGTGGTCCAGGTGAGTTGACCATACACAATGGACGCTACCATGTCAAGGGTCATGTCATTGATTCCTCATATCGTAGAAATGTCATATTTATTGATTCTTCACAACATTCAAGTGACTTTTCTTCAGTAAGTAGTAATAAATTATGATAATAATAATAATACTGTAATATTGAATAGGGTTTGTATTGTATAATTATCTTAAAGAGTAATCAACTGTTAATAAAATACCTGTAGCATTAGTAGAAAAATATATAAAGAGCTCTGCTTTTTATATTTAAATGCTTAAAAATATCTAAGTATGTACTAATATAGCTCTAATAATCACTGGAGAAATTAATTTCTTTTGCTCTGCTGAGCATTTAATTTCTAGCCCAGTACATTGTGTGGCCCTTAGTCTTCTTTGCATGATTTTACCATAAAAGAAAATAAAAATAATCATAGCTGCCTATATTCATGCATATAAAAATTCTGAACCTGAATACAAAAACTAATCAAAGCTATTAACAGTCCTCTCCCTGTAATGCTTTTTAAAAAGTAAACTAATAGGAAAATCATTGCGTTTGGACATGCTCCTTCCACTAACATAAGTATCTTAAACCACCAGCTTCTTTCAAGGTATTAGTGGGACAATTCAAGTTATTTTCCCCTACTAAAATATGAAATCTTCGCCACTGACTACAATAGCTTGATTAATTCACCAAAATTTGAATAATATTCGTATTCTCCGGGAGAACTTGGCGACCTTCAGCCAAAATGCCCACTTCCTTGTTTATCCCCCTCCAGGGCCTAGCCCCTCCGTTGGGCAGGTGCTGGTACCATTATGTATTGTGTCAGCAATTGTTTTAATATGTTTTTCTTTGTAGAATCCTTTACTGCTGATCACAAGCCACTTGTAGGGGAAAGTCCCGAGGTTAGAGGCTTTTACTTGAACTGTGGTTTTAACAGTTCTGGTATGATGTTGAGTGGTGGTGTAGGGTGGCAGCTAGCTGACTGGATTGTCAATGGTAGGCCTACTATTGACATGTACTCATATGATATAAGGTAAGGTAATATCATACACATTAATGCATATGCACTGGGAGAGGATATGATTTTACTTCCATGTAAAAGGAGTAATTTCTATTTACATTATTGTTTAACTGTTTATTATTGTCATAGAATACCACAGTTGTGTCGTCATGATGCCAGGTGGCGCTTTCTTAATAATTACGTTAGAAATTGGGATCAATGTTTTGTTGGTGGCGAAAATGGCGTCGGATTGAACACATTTTGCAACGATAGCAACGGAGTAGTATCACGTGGTATCGTGATGTAACACTGTAGTACTCTGTAACGTACCAAGAGCGTCATGGCTGGGAAAGACCTGGCTGGTTTTCTGTGGGATCTCCAGCACCGGTAAACTCTATACACTTAACTTATTTGAGAAATATGGTAAAAAACATATAGTCCCAAGGTGAGGATGAAACCATACTCTGCCCCGAGATGAATTATGTACTGCCATGGAGGAATAAGCTTTTATTCCCCCATGGTCCCACATAGACAGCCCTGTAGGCACTTTATTATAAGTAGGTAAGCTAAGCATACAAATAAAATACACTTAACCTACAGGTAAGTAGGCTAGACCTCGACAGCTAGTCCTAGTCTAAAGTTGAAATGGTATTGTGTATCCAGTTTTCTTGCTCTTTCGAGTGTGTACATGTAACGTTGATGAAAACTTCTGAAATGATCTGCCCTTGAGAGTTGTCCAGCGCACCAACCATTTCATTGTTTAAAAAGGAGATAGATGGACATTGGCTTGATAAGGGGTTCAAAAGGCTCAGCCTATAAACATAACCCTTTAACTGTAAGTATAATGATGACAGTCAGCTTTCTAGGTCTGGCCTAGGCTTACAGTAATACAATTTACAACAAACTCCTACCTTCATCTAGTCTACTTTGGCTATGGCCTCCATATATAGGTTTTCTGCACGATAGCACCTCAAAAATCTGAAGCATGTTCTAGCAGGCTTCACGTTTTTTTTGTAGCTTTTACAATTCTGTTTTTTTTTTTATTACGTATTTGGCACAAAAATCATGAATCAGGAAATAGCCAGACTGGTACCAAGAGGACACCAAGATGTCCTCTAAACCCTCTGGCAAAATAAACATACAATAAATTACAGGATTTCAATTTGCAAACTGCAACCATTTTCATACTAATAATTTTAAGTGAGTGAGTTTACATTTTAAAATTAAAATGTTGTTTGAAATTGAAATAATTGCAAAATTTAAGAATTTTAATATACACAGGAAGAGTTACCATACTGTAAAATGCAAACTGCATGCAGCACAAGTAAAAAGAGAAGAACAATAACCAAGAATAGTTGTGGTATGCATGTTGGCAGGCATAGTCAAAACTATACCTGATATTTTGTTTATACAGTAGGAGGTTTGCATTCAGAGAACTTGCAGTAGCTTTTGTAATATTTAATAAATATTTTATTACTTTTCTGTATTGTGAATAATGTATTTATATATTGTATAAATATTAATTTTTTTCTTGTACATTCTAGGAGTTTTTTGTTTCATTTTTTTTTTATTCTCCAATAAATTTCTCTTGTTTTGAAGGAAACACACTCTACAAATACCTAACAATACCATTAATTTGTTATCATTGTTATTCTTGGTATAATGTAATCATTATTATATTATTTTTGTTTTTATTAAATATTATTTTTATTAATTTATAATTGTTGGATTTTGTGCTTTGCTGTTGTTATAGAATGTATATGATCACAATGTGCTATGTTAGTTGTATCCAAAATGTTATCGTCAAAGTTTATATTATTATTTTTTTTAATGTTATTTTTAAATTTCAGCTGAAGCCATATGATTACTATGGATATTATGAACATGAAGCCAACAAGGACTATGCCTATAAAAATATCCTAAGTGATGAGTACACATATGACTTTCCAACACACCATAATGAGGTAGATCAAACACTGCTATTGTCTTCTTCTTCTTTATCCAAATTTAAGGCAACTTCATAGCTGAAGGCTTCTGCCCTGAAAACATTTTAATTTATTTGTACCTAAAAACCAAATTAATTTCTAAACAAAAATACAATCCAAAGCAATAAAACATAATTTACATTATGTTTATTATTTTTAACTAAATAAACTAAAAAAACTGAATAAATTTATTTAAAGTGGGTGATTAAAATCCCGGTTTGTGAAAGGAAGGACTGTTTACACTGTGTGTTTCGATGTCAAAGGGACTATCTCGGAGAAGCTTCTGAAAACATTTAGCATCGTTGAACTTGGGTCAGCACACCGGAGTTGTTGCAACTCTGGTGCTTGAAAAGCAGGTTTATACCGGAGTCGCGCTGATTAGTGTAAGTGGTATGAGACTAGGGAGCAATTACCAGATTATGCTGTGGACTACATTCCCACGAACCCAAAAAGCAATAAAATATGTATGTATGGAGGCAGTTAAAGCAGATTTGCCTCTCCTTGAATGAAGTGAGTGTTGCTGTTTATTTTTAATTTACCACTTTTAAATGATGTTTACATTACAGTATGTGTTTTTTAAATTTTTATTTATTTGGCAGCTTAAAAAGATATAAGCATATTAAAATGTAGTGAACAGCGGAAATACAGTACAATGAATTGAATAAAGTTCATTGTATAGAGGGCACATTATTTAATGTATTTGTGAATATTTCTCAGATTGGAAAAGAGTGTATGAGTTGTCGAAAAGATGTTGCTGTCTTCAACATGTCCTACTTTGGGAAATTCTATCTCACTGGACCTGATGCCCAAGCTGCTGCGGACTGGATCTTCTCAAATGATATGGCAAAACCTGAAGGTAACCACTGAGAAAGTCAGGGTGGGGTGAGATCTCCCTAAATAGTAGTGATAACAAGGAGAGAGAGCTGTGTATGTAGCATGGTAGATTGGATCCTCTCAAATGATATTTATTGCGACCCCAGTGTGTTGTGATAATGCTTGTAATGACATGATTAATTTTTGTTTACCTTAGGTGCAACTGTCTATACATGTATGTTGAATAAACAAGGGGGCGTTGAGGGTGATCTGACAGTCAGCATGATTGAACCAGGCAACGGAAGCCCGGTTACACCACAATTTGAAGGTTTGAGTACTGTCCATATTAGGTAGCTTTTATTCAAAAATAGAAATGAAGATCTTCAAGTTTGGTCATTGTTCATTAATTTTGCAGAAATGTAGTAGCTTTTACAGGGATGAATGAGATCTCTGAAGGCTTACATTACTAAATACAAAACAGGTGTAGGCTCACTTAATTATGCAGATATATACGCAAAACAATGATAGTTGATTTACTATGCTTTCCACTAATTTATATATCATTATTTTAACTGATGTAGACTTCCTCTACATAAGTATGGTACAATACAATAGTCCACATATCAAGCGCCCTGAGCATCTTACATTAGATGGATATTTGCGCTATATAAAACTACAATATTATTATTATTATTATTATTATTATTATTATTATAATTATTATTATTATTATTATTATTATGGCACCCGTTCATCAGTTCCTGATACTGGGAGACATACAGTTTCACAGGAGCACACTTAGTTTCAAGGTGTACACTTTTTTTGGTGACTGATAAGTCCATGGTTAAGTCCAATTATTATTATTATTATTATTATTATTATTATTATTATTATTATTATTATTATTATTATTATTATTACTATTATTATTAATATATGCAATTTTATAATAATTTCCTATATATTTACATTTTTCTATGTAGGCCCTACTAATTTTAAATTTTATCCAATGTTTTACTGATAGTGTGTTTGTAATATAGACCATTAACACATGTAACACTTTTTATTCTAAAAGTTAATTTGTAGTAACTTTTGTCTTGGGCTCTATTTTTTGATTCTCATTGTAACCTTAGGGCGTGGATTTTATGTGGCTGTTGGAGGCGGAGCTGCTGAGCAAGGCAAACAACATATTCTCACAACAATCCATAACAAGGGATTTAATTGTAAACTCATTGACCACAGTGAAGATATGTGTATGATAAGTGTTCAGGGTCCCAAGAGGTATTAAGATTTCTTTATTGTGTGTAATTTTCACACCTAGTTGATGTATTGTTTCACCTGTTACAACAACTAAAGACAGACACAAAGTACAAGATAATACAGGTCTCCTTTCAATCTTTATCAGCTTTGAACTATAATTAGAATAATAAAGATAAGACATTTGTTAATTTCTTCCCACTTCTTGGACTGGAGTTTCCATGGTTTTTAGCAGCTTTGAATTATATAATTAGAATAATAAAGAAAAAACAGTTGTTAATTTGGGATCATAGAAAATGGTCTTTAATTGGAGGTGGTCTTTAATTAGAGGGAGACCTGTATTTGCATTTGTATTTGTATTTTTTTCTAAAATCATTATGCCTCAATCCCATCGCTGCTCTCCCAGTGTTTCAACTGGAGGGCTGAGATACAAGTTACGGAAGCGTACTGTCTTCCGGATGAGACGTTTGAGCTGTAGTTCCCATGTGCAATATGGCCCATGTGCATGTTAAAGAATGCAGTACACTCTTAAGAAAAGATTAGGGGATTTTCTCCCGGTGTACTGCCCAATCACAACCAGAAGGATCCTGAAACAAGTCTTCAGACTTCATGGATTATCCTTGGTGTGTCATGTTTATACTCCTGGATGGACAAACAAACATAAGGCGTACCTTGCCTAAGGGCGTAAGCGAAATTTATCTGGTGGTAGCCACTGTGTGCACTGAACTATGTAGATCTATTGCGGTTGTGCGAACATCCGACCATGAGATTCCAAACTGTACCCGCTGCAACAAACCGCTCCCACACTGTAGTGTTATACACCATTAAATATGCTCCTTCCCATGATGGATAGTAAACAGTGGTTAATTTAAATAGTATCAATAGTTCATATTTATATAGTGGGTTTTTTTTTCTGTGTATATTAATGATAAACTAAACTGGTTCAAAATGGACAACACATCAAGGCTGAGCACAAACACTGCCACAAAAAAAAAAAAAAATTATATAGAAATTTTTATCCAGTATATAAAAACTTCAAACAAAACAGGATACATGATTGCCTGATAGTTTTATTGCATATTCAATAATATGAAAGCTAATTTTGTTAAATATATGTTCATTTCCTTTTATATAGCCGTGCAGTACTCCAGGCGATAACTGATACAGACCTGAGCAATGAAAACTTCCCATTCTCCACTCAGCAAATTATTAAAGTTGGCAAGCACACAGTGCGGGCCATGCGGTTGTCATTTGTGGGAGAGCTAGGCTGGGAATTGCACATGAATAATGCAGCAGCTGTGGAAGTGTACAACGCTGTGATGGCAGCAGGTGCTAAACATGGCATCGTGAATGCAGGCTATAGGGCAATTGATTCACTCAGTATTGAGAAAGGTACTTTATTATTAAGTCCTGTGAAGACTATCACATTTTCTTTTGCAAAACATATGGCATGCTTAAATATGGTCATGATACATCACACCATGACCATATATGTAGGCACATCATGACTATATATGGGCATAAAACAGCTTTTTGTCAAAGAAAATTTGGTAGACTGGACAGAGTTGGCTTTGGAAAACCTAATGCTCTTCTGTCTCCTGAGGAGTATTGCTGATCAGGCGTGAATATTCATAGAGTAAAGGCATTCAACATAGAACAAATACATCTTGCCAGGTACAAGTACATACTCCTTGGTTTAGAGAGGCTAATGTTTTATTAAAGAGTAATTATGCCTATACTTTTAACCCCCCCCCCCTTCACCCAAAGCGTATGTTTATATTCTTTTGAAATGTTAGAAATTATAGATAACTCCTAATCTGTTCTATGTTATGCGAGGAATATGTCATTTTAAAGCATAGAATGCACTAAGCTTGTGATTTTTATTTTGTAGGCTACAGGCATTGGCATGCGGATATCAGACCAGATGACACACCACTAGAGGGTGGTCTTGCCTTCACTTGTAAACTGAAGTCACCTGTGCAGTTCTTAGGTAGAGAAGCTCTTGAGACACAGAAAGAGGAAGGACTAAAGAGAAGGCTAGCCTGCTTTACAATTGATGAGTAAGTCAAATATATTTAACGTTAATATTTATGCTAAGTAATAATTAATTATTAGTAATTAATTATAAATAATAGGCCTAATGAAATAAGGAATAATTGCAGTAAAGGAAACAACTAATATCTTGGAAGTTTTGAGTGGTTGTATAAAGAGGTTCTTTTTAGTATATATAATTTCAAAATATATTTGATATTATGTATTCCAGATATTATGTTAAATAAAAGTATATACTGTATTATGATTGAAATAAGTATTTAGTATATTGGATTTAGGACCAGTATAATAAAATGACCCATGTTCAGTACCATTGTAAGCCCTAAAATTCTATGACCAATTATTTTAACAATAATATAGGTGATTTTTAACATTCATGAAAGATTGTAAGATTCATGAAAAATTGTAAGATTGATATTATTTAAATCATTTTATTATTCATATTGAAATTTATGTTTTCTAAAGGTGTTGTCCTATCAAATGAAAAAAAATACTCTATTAATAGTTGCACAATTAACATAATTGTGATTTATACCGTAAATGCTTGAATAACTGCCACACCAAAACATGATTTTCGCTACCCTGTGTGTAATAATGAAGCACTTTGAGAAACAGAGTTTTAAGTACAATGCATATAGTGTTAAAATGAATAAATAACACAATGAAGACACAAGTATTTCTTTATGATAAGCCTACCGTAATACGAGATTACGTGGGATAGGTAACATGGGAACGGGCATGAAAAGCGCCACCCCAATATTTTTTATAAGCACGTTCTCGAATAAGCCCACTGAAGCCTAAAAAAATTGTATAAGTGCTTTGGCGCTTATTCAAGCATTTACGGTACTTGTGTAATTATGGTAAACACAATGTGAATGTAGTTAATGGTATAGCCAGAGGGTGGCAACGGGTTTTTTCGCCCCCACTTTTTGTTTTACTTTTAATTCGCAGATATTAAATTGAAATTTATTGTCTTAATTATTTATCTTTCTTTATAGTCATGAAGCTTTGCTCGGATATGAGGCAATATGGAGGAACAACCAGATTGTTGGATTTATCCGACGCGCAGATTATGGTTTTGCAATCGAGAAGAGTCTAGCATACGGATATGTTTCACATCCTGATGGAAAAACTGTCACTGCTAAATTCCTGAAGGATGGGGAATATGCTATTGAGAAAATGGGAATTAAATATCCAGCTAAAATTCATATGAAATCTCCCTTTGATCCAGGAAATAACAGAGTCAAAGGAATTTACTAAAGTATGAAATTTAAGATTTGAATGGATGTGGAAATGAATTAACTTTAAAATATTTTAATTAAATGATTTCAGATCATCATCATCATCATCATCATCAGTTTATAGTCTATAAATGGTTTCAGATAATAGATAATAATAATAATGAAAATGATAATAATGATAATGATAATAATGATAGTGATAATAATGATAATGATAATAATGATAATGATAATGATAATAATAATAATAATAATGATAATGATAATGATAATGATAATAATAATAATAATAATAATAATAATAATAATAATAATAACAACAATAATGATTTTCTTATTCATCTGTTGAATCTATTGTTTAAAACAGAAAAATATATCTGTACATTTTCTAAACAAATTTTACATATTTATGAGAAATACTTTAATTACACAATGTAATTATGTGTTTAAATAAGTAATAGAGATGTTTACAACAAATGGTTCCAAAATGTTTTTTTAAATATTGGAGCTAAAGCTTTGTGTGTAAGATGTTAATTTTCAAAAAGGGAAACCTAAAAATTCTAGCTAAGATTGCTAAACTACTCCACTATTCTGTTTTTTTGAATGAGAACAAACTATTTTTTTACAAATGGCAAGTCTTTTGGTAGAATTACATAAAGGGAATGGTTATAATACTCTGGTTTCAAATATCAGGGATCATGATTTAGATTAAATTTTATACTTAAGATAAAAAGAAAAACAGGTAGGAGGGGTTTGGCACAATGGTTGTGATTCTGCCTCTCAACCTTGAGGTCGGCGGTTCAATTCCTTGCTGTGATTTTGCTTGTGTCCTTGCAGGGCACTTTACCAACGGTTGTCTCTCTCCACCGTGGGTATGGTAGGTTCAAACATAAAATCAGCTGATTACAGCTGCAACATTATGGAATTCTCCCAAGGGACCTGAGTATATGTTCCATATGTGCTTGATCCAGTGACCTTGGGTAATAATATTAAGCACATAGAGGTGTCTACAATATGCGCTGTATAAGCCGACCATTATTATTATTATTATAATTATGACCCTGTCACACCTTGACGCATCAAAATTTCTCTAAAACGCTGGCATACGCTGAACTATTGATGCTTTTTTTTCAACTTTTGGCGCGTTCGTAGCATATTCATAACGTATTGGACATATAAATAACCGGAAGGTCCACTGATTGATCTCAGATAAGAAAGTATAATACATACTCCAAGTATTGAAATGCACGCCATCATGTAGGGATTCAATATTTCGACATTAATTATGTCACATAATTAATGTTGAAATATTGAATCCCAACACGATGATAATTAATGTCGAAATATTATTATTATTATTATAATAGTAACTTATATAGAACGTTTTGATCTTTATAGAAAACTTACACGAACGAATGCTTAGTGTGTTGCCGGCGTTCACAACTTATACCAAGCGATAGTCTACCTTATGCACAGCGCGCAGCTGCGTATTGCCGATGATCACGTGACGTAGCCTATAAAAAAGCTGCCGCCCGCCGATTCAAATCATAACCGCACTAGACATCGCAGTATCAACATCAGCGTATTGACATCACACCGTTTTAATATATCTATTCCCCTAAACGCTGCCAGTACGCATTATACGATAACTGTAGATTGGAAACATGTTCAGCAAGTTTTTGTGGTTGTCTGGAATATGTGAATATACGTTGGAGATAAGTTTGTTACTAGTTACATATAAGTTCGAAGCACGTTACCCATAGGTTACAAATACGTTTTGACTTTTGAGTAACTTACAAGTAACGTGTGTGAGCGTGTGTCAACGATCGCTTAACTTACCTACAACTTATGGCCCTCGTATGTGGAACGTACGAGCCATATGCTGGCATTTGTGCATGCACAAAACTTTTTAACATACTCGCCGTACTAGGATGTATACCAGCGTCCTTAACTTATACGAAACTTACCAATAAATTATTCGACTGGATTGGATTTATTCGGTGTAAACACCAAGGATAGCCCACGAAAGTCTAGAAGACTTATTTCCAGTGGGGTCCTTCTGGTGGTGATTGGACAGTACACCGGGAGACAATCCCCTACTCTTTTCCGAAGAGTGTACTGTGTTCTTTAACGTGCACATGGACCATAAATGCACATGGGACCAACGGCTTAAACGTCTCATCCGAAGACGGTGCGCTATGTAACTTGTATTCCAGCTCTCTAGCTAAAACACAAGGAGAGGCAGCGATGGGAATTGAACCGGGAACCTAGAGATCTCCACGGTTCAGCGCACACACAGTGGCTACCACCAGATTAGCCGACTGAGCTAAGCTGCTCTACGTACACCAGCGTATTCGACATTTTTTTCATACATCGGCATACGCTGGCTAAATCGTCAAGGTGTGACAGGGCCATTAGTATAAGTAAATGAAAATTGATTAAAATAGAATTTGTAAGTAGATGTAGTAGATCCCTTCAAATACACTGAATCTTCATGATGTCAGTACTATGCCAATAAAATTGATTTGCTAATTATGCTACTGCCTGTATTTAATCTATTTCATTTGTAGGGAGCCCTCTGGATTTTTTTCAGATTTGTTTTCCTGCAAATTAAGTTTGCATTTCATCGAAGTCTTCATATTTTTTAATAAACGTAAATTGGAATAATAGACCCTACTGAATTTTGTTATGTATAGAAATTAGGACAGCATCACTATGAGTAGAACGACATAGCAAACCCAGCTGATTAGAATTCAACCAAAATTCTTACATCAGGTCAAACTGTGTTATGGGAAGCATTGTACTACTACAAAAAGTAAAAAAAAATTATTATTATGATACTTGATGCATGACTTGTTCCAAAAAAGGGCTTGTATGCTATGGAGAAATTTAGCTGTTACAGCAGGATTATACAATAATCCACACAAGATTTTAAGCATATACTATAATTTAAACATGTATCTTGAGGTGAAAATTTATATTTTTACACAAAAAATGTATTTGTAAATCAGGTACAGGGTATCAGAGTTTACTGGGTTATTTTCAAAAAAGTATACTAAATGACAAAAATACTGAAATATTTAACCAATAAATTATCTATCCTTCACAAATATCAGCTGTTTCTTTATTGACTCCATCTTACTAGCTTTTTGATGTTTTACATTTGTTCCCACACAGCATTTTATAATTTGTATGTTACTGTGCATATTCATTTAACTGTACTGTGTAATCACATTAAAACAGTGTGGGGAATCCCAATGCCATAGTGTTTTGTGTTGTAGCAATTTGAGGTCTAAAATTATGAACATTTCTAATTTAATCTAATCTTATTTAATTAAATATTGGGCATTGAAATTTACTTGTTTTTAATACAAGTATTTTTGTATAAGATTACTAAACACAACCATTTCTTATAAATAGGACTGAAATGCCTGACTTCTTTGAAAATGAACGATGATTGAGATATAATACTAATTTCGGTTGGAAGCCTTTCATGCCAGCAAATCCTGGTTTTAGAGAATACTTGTGATTACATGGTGTAATGGCTGTTCAGTACTTTTATTTTACGTGTTCAATGTCTTTCCTTGACAACAATATGACAATGTTCAGTACTGTGCATTACAGGTTATAAATGTGTCATGACTTGTGATGATCTTATCTAGCAGGTTCTGATTTTGTCTTGAATTTAAAAAATGATGCTTTTGAGATGCAAAGGGTCTTTATTCCTTGTATATAACAAAGGATTTTCGTCACTGTACCCTTTAGGGTTTATCCATAGATTTGGACCTGTGGAATTAAGATTAATTTTTTTTCATTTTCTCACAAATGCAAAGATGCACAAACAATAATACTTAGTCATTGCACATAATATTTAATATATGTTTGATTTCCTTTCAGCACCATATATTTCTACAGACAATTCATTGGAAAGTGACATACTGTATTACAATGATAATAGTGATCAATAACAGTTTATTTCCACTGCTGCTACTAATATATATCAAATTAGCTCCAAATTAATTATACATTGTTTACTGAAATGTATTTATTGTACCTCAAGGTTAATTTCTCAGGAACCTATCCTCCTTAAAATTACATTAATATAGAATGACTGAAAGACATTTAGGTCTTTTAGAAAAAATTGTATTTTGGCTTCTACTTTAAGCAATAAATCTACAGTTGGAAGAAAACAAGTTTAGTGGACAAGTTGATAAATTTTGTATCTGGAATATACATGTACCATTCAGAATGATTAAGATCATGAGTCCGCTTTGAATCATCTTTCCCATCAGGCAATGCTCAGGCTGATTTCAAAGCTGTATCATTGACCACTCAGCCTTCATGGCTGCCTTGTATTAGGCTTTTCATACATACGACAAATTATATTTTAATAGTCACATGACCAGAAAAACTCAAGTAACAACCATAAAATAGATTTACCAAAGATATGAAAATACTGAATGTATATACGATTATGAAAATATATCAAAATAAATCAGACATTAATTATACATGGTCTTCAACAGATGCTTCATCATAAGGTCACAACGTAAAGGTCATATGGTATATAAGAAGAAAAGGTTTAACATTTAGAGTATTTCTAGTTTTATATGTCCCTAAACATCGGTTTTTGTTAGGATATTCACAAATGGTCTACTGACATTGGATTGCCAACATAAATATATTCATATCTACTGGTATATACACACACCTAGATTATATACATTTTCAACATGCATATAGAGAGAAAAGGAATGTATTCTATATAGTTTACACTAACAGTTAAATATACTTCTGTACAAATAGTGCAAGTACACTATTGTACTGAACAATTTGAATTTTTCAAAAATATCTTTGGTATCCCCCTGGGGCAACTTTAATTAAAGTTTAAAGCATACACAAAAAAGACACTTCACTCACCTCCCGACCTTATATGATAATTTTCCTTTACTCATACTTACAGCATGAAACGTAAAGCACAGACTTTTTAGACAGCCTAGCAACCATTTATTAATTTTTTCTTCAATTGCTAAAACCTTTAATCATCCACATTGTCTCCTCTGTTATCTGGATTTATTTTAAAATATCTGTTTAAATCTGTAAAAACCATCACAAATCCATTAAAAAGATCAATCAAGTTATTGACGCACAATGAGGTACAGATAAACAATGCCATACCTAGAAGTCTTGAAATGGGGGGAGGGGGGCCCTGATAGGGTGCCCAGATGAAGTGGGATGTTCGTTCACAAAATAAGGTGATTTTTAACTACTTACTTCAGCATGACTTTTTTGCTTTGAACATTTAAAATGGTAGGGTGAGGAGGGGGGAATGTGCCCTGTGCATCCCTAGATAGGCCACTGCTAACAATACAGTATATGCAAAACATGCAGGTTGAACTACATAAAATATTTAAATTGATTATCAACCAATTTATGGGTCTACTGTATGCAAACAATAGGAAGGGTATATGTATTGTAAACTGAAGTAATATTTTTACTTTTTAAAAACTTATGCAAACTTCATTAGTTTATTAGCTCTATACAATACCTGTATTACAATTTATTTTCAAGCAATTTAAAGCACCAAATAAAAGTTGATAAATCCAGCATAAGTACTGATAAATATAATGTTTAAATTATGATAATGGGAAAATTATCGTATTCAAATTGTTGATATTTTTCTTTAAGACCCTCTGGTGGTTTGTGTCTCGACAATCGTATATTCATGCAAAGGTGTTGTAATTTTTTACCAATTCATAAGTCTATGTACCACCAAAAGCATTCAATTCTTGATTTTAAATGTAAATAAAATCTGTTGATCTGGATTTTCTATGCACACCCAACATTACTGTACAGTACAGGCTTGAGATTTATCAATCTCAGCTTAGCTAAAGTCAAAAAGTCAAGATGTCCCTAAGCAAATATCTTAAGCTGATTTATTAAACCATCTTAGTAAAATCTTAGTTTAAAAATCGTTTTAGATGGCGTATGCGTACAATCAACTTTTTAATTTTAAGCAATTTTTAAAGCTCAGCAATATTGATAAATCTGACTTCAGCAAAAAAATGGACTTTAAGCTGATTTCTAGATAAATTCCGGACCCTGTACTCCAATGTGTCGTATACTGTGCCTGAAAACAGGTATTGAAATAACTTCCATCAGCCACGCAAGTGATAAACACTCGCATGTGAAGTGGCTGGAGTAGGTACAGTAACTATATAAGTTGTGCACGTTATTATTCTTAAAAGAAAATAAAATAAAAATAAAATATATATACATATAAAAAAGTTAAAAAAAAAGAAAAAGAATAGCAAACTAAATTCAAGAGTAGGTGCCACAAAAATTTCTTTGCAATGTAAAATTCACCTTGTATATTATAATAAAAAGTATGAATTGAATTGAATCTATTGGCCATGTCTTACTCTTGAAAATTCTTAGTCATTCCATTAGTCATAATTTTGTCTGATGTCTCATAATTCTCATTTATTTTTCTTGCCTCCTACAGAGTATATTTTTTTTCTTTTCCACCACTGAGCAAATATTCATATCAACCACTTTTCTGTTTCCATCATTTTATCATAAATTTAACCTTTTTTAAGTCAAGATGTTTGTTTAGAAATGAAAATTAAACCGATGTTAAACTATTTCTAGTATTATAATGTAGCATAAGGCATGCCTTCTAACTGTTCTTGTGCTTTCTTCCCTTTCTTTTTGCCTCCTTTATCTCCATTTTTTTTATCCTCGTCTTCCTTTGCTTCCTCTTTCTCTATTTGCTCACGGGCTTGGCGGCTTGAATCAATCAGTTCTTGGATTTTGACAATAAGATCATCGTTCTTTTGTTCAAGCTCTGTCAAATAACTATCCAGTTGATCAATAGTGTTATTCAGTGATTCATACTCTGTTCAAATAAAATAAAGACAACATCTGTCATACTGTAGGCCTAGATGAAAATCATTAAATTTCTTGCACCTCAATTTAATAATAATTATATTGTACCATATTTCTTTGACAAATAAGACAATGGTTTCTTTTGAAACAAAATGCAAGGACATATACCAGGGTGGATGCAGGATTTGGTGGTAGGGGTGCATTGGAATCCAACAAAATTTCAAAGCATACAATCCAAGGAGAATGCTAGGATAAGTAAATAAACACTATTTTGAACAGTCGTATTGCCTTTCCTAGCCATTTACTTCTCAACGTTAACAGTGGGTGGTTTTCACAACCATAACATTATCTTTTCCTATGCTATCGCACTGGAATGCTTTTTTCATGTATACCCAAGTTAGGTCACGTGACTGCCTGTAAACAATCATCGCTAAAATCCCTCTATTTTGATCTGTTCAGACTGCCACCGACAATCAGCAGACGGCATCGGGTCACCTATCGCCTACGGGGAGTGGAGTTGGATTTGGTGCCCGACGGTCATACACCGCAGTGTGTATTTGGCTTTAATCTTTCCATCACTAGCTAGTACTGCTGTACTACAATATTCTGTTTCCTTCAATTAGAGCTGCAGGTGCTTTTGTTTGATTGTTTTTTTATTTTTTATTTCGAATAATTTAAACATATAAAAAGAATATATCATCATTATTGTATTGTTTGAATTAAACATGCATTCGTGCATGGATGTATTATAGGTCCATGATTCATGTAACAAAAAAAAACAAAACAAAACAAGTCAAATGACAACTTTATTAAGTGATAAAATAAGGCACGTCGATTTTATCAATAAAAGAACCCCACAATGAATGAATCATTTCTTATATTAACACACAGGAAGATACCATAAATTAACAGCATGACGGTAAACATAGTAATTTGAGACCAATACAAATCCAGAGGAATCTAGGGCCTAGGCTTTTCCATCCAGTACATACAGAGAGAGAGAGAGACTCAGACTGCCCAGGCACTGGCAAGCACAAAAATATACCCACCTTGCTCTGCTTCTTCAACTTCTATCACGTCTTGGTTTTCAGTTTCAATGTCTGACGATTCATTTTGAACACCGTCAAGTCCTGTATGACCGTTCATAATTTACAAGTGTCACAATTAGCAGCAGTAAAGTAAGCCTCGATATGTTTAAGAAGAATTTATCAAAAAACAAACCAGGCCTCCAAATTTCTATTTCTGGATTTACATAAACAGAAAAATCCTCATGATTGGCTCATAGTAAAAGACTTGCATGAAACGATTTAATGATCATTTATTCATGTTGGACCGCAGTTAGTATGTAATTTACTATAATATTTTTCTTATTGGTATATGCCAAACATGAAGGGGAGTGCTATTTTTTTTATATTAACTTGCAGCATTCTGAGGAATGAATAACAGAATAGTTAGCTATATAAAAATAAAAATAAATAAAAATTATAAAAATCTATTGCGAAATATAGTATAATTTAAATAATAACGCAGTTTATTGATGTATCTTGGTACATTTCTCCCCTATAAGTCTATAAATGGATTAGTTCAATGACGTCATCTTTTGGATGACGCGTAAGCAGCCATTTTGTAAGCTATTTGTTCAGTTTGGACGAAGAAGTCGCTTGTGTTTTAAATCTGTCTTATTAAAGGTTTGTATTGAATTGTCTTCGTTGTTTTTACACGTAGTAAAATTGTGATATGTTAATTTGTAACTATATTTCATTATTTTGAATTGATAATTTGATGTAACTGTAATCTACTCGGTTCTTCCTTCTAAAAATGTCATTTCCTCTTTTGTTCAGAGGCTAACATTATTAATTCCTGTTTTTTGTTCGTCCAATAAATCGTAAAATTTTATACTCATAAAAGTTCTAACAGGTTCGATAAGAGTGCTTTACATAGAATGCCGAGTTAGGATCAAGCCAGTCGATATAGGCCTAACCATTTGCCTTTTATTCAAGTGAAATAAAATAGTGTTTTATTTAATAGTTGTGCGATCGAAGTTTTATTTTGGAAACCACCACCATTACACCATCATAATCAATGACAACATCCATATAGACATAGGCTAACCTAGGCAGTGACTTTGTAGGCCTACTGTAGCTTTTTGTTTTAGCTATCTAGGCCTTGACTATAAATGTCCGTTTCTAGGCCCTAGGCCTAGTATTGTAGGCCTAGGCTACTGTTGTGTAGGCCTAGCCTAGGCCTAAGAATATTATAATAATTATTAATAGATGTGACATAATCGGCAGTCACATGTTGATACGCATTTGATTCTGCACTAGCTGTAAACATTATATTAAAATGAATGTGTGGCTGAGTCAAAATTGTTTCTTTGAATTGATTGATTTGTTATATTCGTAGTTTGCTAATTTTCAATCTCTATATTCATTTACTATCTATCCTGTATAAAATTTAGGTGCTTAAAAATTATAGCAGCATCATTTTACTGTATTTCTATTTGGGATCACTTCATATTTAAATTAGTAAAAGTCTATGTAATTGTCTGATCCTCATTTATAATACTGTATACTGATACTGGTAGACACCATGATCAGTCTTGGTAGCAGATTTAAAAGCAAGCTTATATAATTATTAATATTATTATTATTATTATTAAAATACAATAACATTGCTTTCAATTCAATATTTTTATTTCAAAATCAAATTGACAAACGAGCAAGAAAATAGTAAAATTTTAAAAATAAAGTTAAATGAAAAATACAAATGCCTTAAATCATGGTTTCCTTAAAAAAAGATAAAGGTTTTTAGATAATAAAATAAAAGAATAAAAAATCGATACAAGAAAACGTGAAAAAAAGAATAGAAAAAAAGGAATAAAATAAAAATTTTAACTAAAATTAAAAATCAAATAATATAATGACAGTAATTAATGGAAGTGTAAAAAATTTATATAAATGACAGTCGGTATGAAAATGCAGATGGTTGTAACAGCATGGAATTATAACATAAATTTTAGCTTAGAAACTTTAAGTTTTTCTGATATAGTGAAAATGTAAGGTTTTTTTTTTTAATTCAAAGATTATATGTAATTTCTATTCATTATAAAAATATTTGTTTTCATTACAGCTATTACTATATTACTATAATAAAATGGCTGAAAATGAGGATGTACTTTTGGACTACGAGGAGGATGAGCCAGAAGTGGCACCAGAAGCTGCCGGAGATGGTCCTGCAGCTAAGAAGGAAGTGAAAGGCACCTATGTCTCCATCCACAGTTCTGGTTTCCGAGATTTCTTACTCAAGCCTGAGCTTCTCAGAGCAATTGTTGATTGTGGTTTTGAGCATCCATCTGAAGGTAGAACTAATATCAATATTAACAATTCTATAAGATCTAATACTGTAATATGTAGTGCAGGTTGTAGTTAACAGTAGGCCTAATACTAAAAAACACACAAACCAATGATTCAGTATGTTTTAATCTAAATGATTATTGTGGCATTTTTGTTTTCTGTAGTACAACACGAGTGCATTCCGCAGGCTATTCTTGGTATGGATGTTCTTTGCCAGGCTAAATCTGGTATGGGAAAAACTGCAGTCTTTGTCCTGGCAACATTACAACAAATAGAACCAGTTGATGGGCAGGTAACACAATCAGTAATTTAGTTCTTAATAACTTGAATGTAAAGCTGTTTTTGAATTGGATTGAGGGTAACTTTCACATGGCTTGTTTTAATGGTGTTTGTATTTATTACAAAAAATGGCAAAGTTTTTTTGTTAATATTTTGTCTGTCTAGGCATAGTTTCAACTCATTTTTTCTTCCTATACCTATCTCATCATTAAAATAACCTGCTCTATCTTGATTGTATAGTAACAATTGAAATATACTATGAAATTGGAACTTTAAATCCTAATATAAGTACTGTATAATAATTAGAAAACAATTCAAAACTGCAGGGTAAATTATATGCTTTTATTATTCTAGCAATAACAAAAGAATACATTTTATATTAAAAAAAAATATAAAGGTTTTATCTAATGTATTTGAAAAAAAAACTTCGTAGCAGAATATTTTAAAACATAATGTGTGATAATGCTGCTAGTTGCTACTATTGCAATACTCATGATTTAAAATCAATTGTTAATAGCAACAGAAGCTAGAAAGTAAGCTACCATTTATATCAAATTCCAGTTGCAGTCAAATAATGTTTTTTTCTTTTCAGGTGTCTGTGCTCGTCATGTGCCACACAAGAGAGTTGGCATATCAGATTGCCAAAGAATATGAACGTTTCTCCAAGTACATGCCATCAATCAAAGTTGGTGTCTTCTTCGGAGGCCTCCACATCAACAAGGATGTGCAGGCTTTGAAAACAAATTGTCCTCACATAGTCGTTGGAACCCCGGGTAGAACGCTGGCTCTTGGACGTCAGAAGTCGCTTGCTTTGAAGAATGTAAAGCATTTTATTTTGGATGAGTGTGACAAAATGTTGGAACAACTTGGTGAGTTAAGATACAAATGTAGCATAATACAGTGATACCAAACATTACAAGTGATGAATGTAAATAGTTTTTAAAAAAAAAGATATGTTGTGCAACTGATTTTTCTAAGACGCCAAAATTATATTTGACGAAAATTCGGGAACGACTAATGAGATACCGATTTTTAAATATTTAAAAACTTTGGGAAAAGGTGGATAAAAGGGTAGTAATGCCCCTTTATGTGACTGTCCTTTAAAAATAGGAATTTATCAATCATGGTTGTGTTTTTTTTTTCAGATATGCGACGTGATGTGCAAGAAATCTTCAGAATGACACCACATGAGAAGCAAGTGATGATGTTCAGTGCAACCCTGAGCAAGGAAATTCGACCGGTTTGCAAGAAGTTTATGCAAGACGTAAATAGATCTCCCTCTTCATTCTCAACATCCTCTACTTGGAGTGTGGCTGGTTAGAGCTAGTCTGGCTTCAACCGGATCCTGTCTGGTTCGCAACTAGCCTCTATCGAGTGTAGTCGGAGATGCCTTTTTTGTGGCGTTCTCTGGCTCCCGCACGCATAGTTAAATGAGGAAGCTTATTCTCTCATTTTATTGCAGTTTTTTAAGCAACATATGTGGCTCGCGGTGTATGGCATTGGTACCAACAGCTCTTGGTTATATATGGATGGACTATATCCGCTGATTATGTAGAAAGACTCTGAGAAAATATCATATTTCCTACAATTTACAAATCATTCTATTTCTTAAATACAGATAAAAATCAATTACTTCAAAATCCTGGGGAAATCAATTTACAAGTGATAATTTACACTCAAGACACATAAAATATGACATTCTTACAAATATACAATCTCACTCAATTGGAGCTGACACAGTTAATATATACCAAGCTACTAAAAATAACCCATGAAAGTCGTTCAATGTTAATGCCTCATTCCTGCTTTCAAGACACAATTTTTCGCGTATATTTACACTAAACATCTGTCATATTGTACATGCATCAAGCTCATACCGTTTGCACATGCTGGCGTGTTCAGACACCTTAACAACATGAGGAGAATGCTCACAATACACTTTACATCATAAACAAATTTAACATGAAATAGACCAGAGGATGACCAAATTGACCGCGTACATGGACAATGTATTACCATTATTGGACTATTGTTACCATTATTGGATACAAATATGAACTCTGATTTTTATATGGAAGATTTCAACAACAGCAGTTGCCCTGCAGATCTGGTATTTTTATATTATCATGTTTTTGGTGAAGAGGACTTCGATGCAGTACCTACAACAGGTATTTCCATCTGTGCATCTAATTTTGAATTTGCAAACCATTCTGCGACACAAGAATTTCAACTCCAGTTACCATGGTATCCAAACGAGTTGCCTTGCCAGCCACCAGGGGACTCTTATGTTGCCTGCATTTTCAACCAACACCAACATTGGACTTGTAATCCTGTGGCCATCTGTTGGTGGATTGGGTGGTATACATCACACAAACTTAGCTTGTGTGAATTTTTTTTAAATTAATTTTTTTTTTTTCATTTGAACATAGAAACTCTTTGTAGCCCATTAAAAAATTATTTGTACTATAAACATAAAAATAGATAACCAGTCTTAGTCTGAAAAAACCAATTACAGATGTGAAAGTAAGAAATAAAAATATTTGTTTTTTTTATTACCCCCATTGAATTTAAAGTACCTATACTACTTTTATAGAAAATTAGGGTTCTCCCTCCAATTAACGACCACTAATGGGACTGGCTTTTCCATGCTCTTTTGCAGCTTTGGTCTTCCATTATAAAAATAAATTTTATGAAATGAGATAAGACATTTATTTGGAGCTGCAAAAAGGTGGTCTGTAATTGGAGGGCTCTTTAATTAGGGAGAAAGGAATAAGGAATATAAGGAATAAGCCCACTTTCTATAAATTTGTCTAAAACAGTTACAGTATATGCCTTATTAAATATAGCCAAAAAGATTAGAGGTCCTTAAAACAGAGCCCAATAGATAAATGAAATAAATAAGGGCAACACTTAATCCAGGGGGCTTCTCCGAGTGTCCATGTGGCCCAAAGCAGCTTTCAACGGCACTGTTGATAGTTGCAAAGCCTGCATGTGTACTAATTGTCTCCTTGCAGCCTATGGAAGTGTATGTTGATGATGAGACCAAACTGACGCTACATGGCCTTCAGCAGTACTACGTGAAATTGAAGGATAATGAGAAAAATAGAAAGCTGTTTGATCTTCTGGATGTTTTGGAATTCAATCAGGTACAGTATGAATCTAGTGTAAAATGTAGTTAGCATAAATTAATGTGATTATAAATTTACATTGATTAGTATATACTGCATGCAAAACCAGCATTCTGAAACATCATTTTAAAAACATCAATAAAATTGTTTTTGATAATTTGGCCCAAACCTTACAATTGTTGATAAAATTAAATTAAAAAATAGGTGAACATACGGTATAAATACTAGTACAGTACATTGATCTTTCCTAAACTGGCAGTTTGTGTTGTCTGGTCAAGGACCGCCAGCAAACAACAGAAGGTGCCCCCTTTTCCAAACTTTTACTTTGCAAAAGAAGCCCATCCAAAGTTCGCAAAAAGAAGCAGCACAGGGCTTCAATTTGAAGTTTTACGGTATATAGTGTGCACATAAAATTTGGACTGGAGGAATTGTATTGAGACATTTTGGGCCCAAAGGGAGGCCCAAACATTTTTTCCAGGCTTGTCCTTTGGATTGAGTACCGTACTGTTTTCCCTTGTATTTTTCTCTTGTATGAAAACTTCCAGATGCAGTAACAGCTGCTGCTCCCAGACTCCACCTGTATAGCTGTTCACAAATCTCCATCTGCAATGGTTTTAAAAATTTTCTTTTCAGCTTTTCATCAGTCGGTTGTTGCTTCTTTTTTCCCTGTGATCTTTTTTTCAGACACTCTATCGTTGTTATCACTAATGTACAGTGCACCCTCCAATTTGAGACCCCTCTAATTCAAGACCACTTTTCCAAAGACCCAAATAATATTCAACACAAAGCTAGCCCTCTAATTGGAGACCAACCCCGAGACCACCCCAAATTTTCAGATCACAAAGTTGGGTCTCGAATTGGAGGGCGAACTATATTATGGATAATATTACATATATAATTTGGATTGTTACTTGTAATGGCAACCACGACCGAAACTTTAATGATTATTTTGTCAGCCAATTCTGATTCAGAATTTCATGCCAGTCTTATCTCAATGCTTTTTTGTAGGTTGTCATATTTGTGAAGTCAGTGCAGCGTTGCATTGCTCTTGCACAGCTGCTGGTGGAACAGAACTTCCCAGCCATTGCCATCCACAGATCCATGCTCCAGGAAGAGAGGTACAGTCACTATATTTCCATGTATTCATCATTTTTATCATACCAAAATAAAGTTTAAAAAATATTTTGAAAAAGTATGGTTTACAATAATAACAGTCAATTTTTGTAGCACATATTGTAGAGACCATGAGCTTAACATTATTGCCGCTAAATCATTGGATCAAGCACATATGTAATGCATAATCAGGTCCCTGGGAGGATTCCATGAAGTTGCAGCTATAATCAGCGCATTTTGTGTTTGAACCTACCAGGTACCGACCTCAAATATTTTATGCTGTAAAAAGTCCACTATAAAAAGCAGCGTATTCTTGATGCTTTTCAAAGCCGTTATTGTCTTCATCTAATCAACATAATTACAGTTTAGTATTTTCATAACATTTACTAACCTTTAATTGATTGTGGGATGAAGTTCTCCCATTGTATTTTGTAATTTCGACCTCTCATGTGATTGTTTGATTTTTACAGATTGTCTCGTTATCAGCAATTTAAGGATTTCCAGAAACGTATCCTTGTGGCTACGAACTTGTTTGGCCGTGGTATGGATATTGAGCGTGTGAATATTGTATTCAACTACGATATGCCAGAAGATTCAGACACCTACTTGCATAGGGTATGTTTGCTGTTTAGTTCAACATAGCAATGAATGTCATACCAAGGTTGTCTGATCAATCAACCTCTACACTATCATTATCTATGGTTTTGAGTGCAATTTAAGTAGTAGAATTTACATATTATAGACAAGTTTGTGCATTTTTTGCAGGTTGCTCGTGCTGGACGTTTCGGTACAAAAGGTCTTGCTGTCACGTTTGTGTCCGACGAAACGGATGCCAAAACATTGAACGAGGTTCAAGACCGATTTGAAGTGAACATTGGTGAACTGCCCGAGGAGATCGACATGTCTTCATACAGTGAGTCATTGTCTTTACTTTGATATTGTATTATAAACAAAATTTAATAATTATGCTTTGCTTTACACCTTGCATTACAATTGTAAAATTTACACTAGTACTTCATGAACAACCTTGACTGATTCCCTACAATATAATAGAATATGGTAATGAATTCGCTATCAGTATCTACATCTTAGAAACTATTAGATTCAAAACAAGAATTTACTGTAGGTCCTATTTATTTTTATTAAAATTTATATTTCAACAGAATAACAGGAGCAATGTTTCCACTTCCCGGCATGTAATGAAATACATTACATTAACATTCCTCCTTCCATCAAAGCCACAATCAAAAACAGTAAATAAAGCAAAAGTAGACTTTATTAGATATTAGATTAGATATACGCTGTACAGTCAGTGTTCACAAGAGCTTGTTTTAGCGACTCATCTAGTTTACTTCTGCTTTCCTTATAGTAGATTAATACAACTCCCTATATTATGAACATGTTGAAAACAGTCTGAGCTACAAAATCTGAACTGCAATATATGGTCTGTGGTTTTACATGTTCAAACTTTGGTTGGCAATGTTTTACTATTTTCTTTCAGTTGAGGCTACTGTCTGATGAAGCTACTCAAAATCAATCCAGTAATGTTGCTGTTTCACAACAATGAAATTATTGACCTAAACGATGAACAACATCTTGCTTATGGGCCATTGCATGCTACGACATGTTAACTTGATCTGCAACGCATCGCAACCATTGTGATTGGAAATTTATGTAGCTGTATTGACTACCAAACACTATATACTATTGTTTAACATGTTATAATTTTTTGTACAATTTGTTTTTCTCTATCATTAGTTTTATTTTCTATCAATACAAAATTTGACTGTTTTTACTACATGTATAATTTGGTTTCACAAAACTTTAAATACTATATTTATATGTCCTGTGGCTTATAGGTGTTAGAATTGGTATTTTTACATTCAAAATTTATCTAATTCGTATAGTTATACTGCTTGTAATTTTGGTTAATACTGTAATGGTTTTGGAATTAAAATTTAAAAACCATATTTTTGTACCATTGTGTTCGTCAGCACTGTACTGAATTATGACATTGGTTTTCAAATATTATATAGTTGGAAAATTGTTACTGTACATCATAAAATAACATGAATTTTAAATTAATGTACTAGGATTAATTAATCCTAAATTTACCATATAGTTAATATAGGGAAGCATTTGGTTACAATCTAGATCATTCTTATAAACTGTATGTATTGCAATGACAGAAATATGTGTATGGTGATAATCCAAAATGCATAGAGCATAAAATTTCTTCAGTCCTGTAAAAAAGTTAAATTTGGTCTTACCAATATTAGCATTGTTCCAACTGTTTACTGCAAGGGAAATAGGAATTAAATAATGAACATCAAACTTTTAATTCACTCATTTTAAAATGATTTTTTTTCTTTTTCATATCAAACATTGTCTGTATTGGTATGTATTGTTGTATGTAAATGATAGTTTGATGCAAGTTTTTTGACAAATAAAATTGATTAAAAAAAAAATCTGTTACTTAATTATTTACCTGACCCTGTTATGGATCTGAATTTCTATCCTATATTAAGGTCTACTGTATTGTACTTGTGTGCATAAAGGCATATTTACACTAGACAAGATTAACACTGTATGCATCTGTATCGTGTCTAGTGTAAATGAGGCCTTACAGTGAAAGCGCCGGTGGGGGCAGGGAGGTAATTGTACACCCACCCCATCACGGACTAAAAATAATAATTTGCCTATCCAAATACTGTAACGTTATTTTTATTGCCAATATCGGATATTTAGGTCTAAACTAATAGCACAGTCAGGGCCATACCATGGGGGAATTAGGCCATATAAACTCTTGCTTCTGCTCAGCGTCGTAGCCAGGTGAGGACGGCACCAGTGCAAGATAGAGAGTCGGGGAGAGGATGCCCTCAATTTCAAGGTTCATAGTTCATAAATCAGAAATTCAATTCAGTGCTCAGGGTAGTAGGTAACCTTATTGCACTTTTTTTCAAGAGGAGTTTATTAACATAATATGATTGAGTATGGATCAAATGAATTTGAGAATAATGCAGCCCTAAGTGATCAACTAGTCATTAAACTTCACAAAGTAACAAAATACTTGTATGATGTTTCTTTAATAGATTTATTGCCTTAAACCAGGATTTCAGTCCTATGGTACCAACAAAAATACAAAGGGAGAGAATTAGTAGTAAAAAAAGAGTTATTGATTGACCTTGAATTTTGAGGCACAATACATAGTAAAATTTCCAAAAATTTCGCAGGCATTACATTTCAAATCAACCAAAGGGTTCATTGTTTCATAACTGACTCAATGACCAATTAATACATGCAACCAGAAAATAAAATGGTACTGTATTCAATGAAATATTCAAACATAGGGTACAATATTGTTCAAATAATTCAAAAAGAATTAAAATTGTATATTAAAATATCATTTTGCTCCACGATGGTTGACAACTGCATCTTTTGTTCTATGGTACCAAGGACCGATGTTTGTTTCAGAAACCATGTCGTTAAATGCATCCAGACCTTCAATAGAACTCAAGACTCCATAGACAGCCTTTAAAAAGAATAAAAGAAAATATTGCGTACATAAATGTTTGAATCGTAATATGTTTAATTCACAAATACATTTAGAAAAAAGTCATAAATACTAAAAAAAAAAAACACCAATTTTCAAGCTTTGCTTAATATTAGTCATGGTTTTTACCACAGTCACAGGTAGATTAAGAATTTTTGAAATGAGGGGGGGGGGGCAAACCAATTTTATATATTTTATAGATGAATATGTATACAGGGGGAGGAGCTGCAGCCCAGTCACCCCCCCCCCCCCCATAAATTTTTTCAAAATTATAACAAAAATGGAGAAAAAAAAAAGAAAATTATACTAAAATTTAAGTCTGAGAGTGCCATTTCCGGCCATCTGGAGGTGCCATAATTATAAATTTTCTTAACTCAGAGATGGGGCTGAGGTGGTCTACATTATCGATCTGTGAGAGTCGCTCCTTGGCCGCTAAAATATTTAGTACTTGTATGTATAGGGTGAAGGGCGAGAGAGAAAAACTGATAACCAATAACCCTCGTTATTTTTCTAAATGCTGACCAACTGCCTCTGTAGTTGATCAACATATATTTTTTTTTTTAATACTGTACTAAAATTTACTTTTCCATCAACTTACCAAGTCAGCCATGTTTGGTTCCACTCCTCCATGAAAGTCCTTATTCCCAACAGATTTCATCCAGTCATTTGCTGCGTTGTACAGAGATGATCGTACATCATCGGGTAGGTTGTACCTGTAGCAATATTATATGCAATCATTTTTATTTGAAATTAATAATAAATTTTACATAATATTCTTGAAAGAAATTTCATATCAAACCAACCTTTTGTCTTCAATCTAGAAATTTGAGGAAGATTCAAATGTTTTAAGAGATATCACAAAAGATAGAAATAAGTGGAATGATTTGTTTTAGTTTTGTTTTGTTAACTGTATAAACCACAGGATTGTACAACAACTGTACAGTAAATTGTATTATAGTTTAACTATAGTTTTTTGCACTTCATTAATTTCCATGATTATCATAAAAGGAGACATAAAAAAAACAAAATGTAAATGTAGCATATACAAATATCAGTATCCTTAACCCTCTTGTAGTCTTAACAGCAGACAGACTATGTCAAAAGTCATGACATATTAGATATCAAGATATTGAAAAGTAAAAGAAATGTAAGGTACTAATAATAACAAGAACGGAAATATATATAAAAAATTAATAGACCAAATGAACTCTAAATTACTGTATATTTAAAATAATTTATAACTTAAAATAAATCAAGCTATAATAGTTATATAGTTGGTATTCATTAATTTTTTTGATTAGGTGAATTGTTAAATAATTCTCCTCACTTCCAGTTGTAAAAGCACACAGTGTACATTATTTAAGTTCAAAATTATTATTATGTTAAACAAACAAAATGCATTCACTATTTGTGTGTAGAAACTTAGTGCGACTGAATACATTCAAAATTAGCACCAACGAAGAAATATTAAAGCTGCTGTGCACATTAAAAGTTACTGATATGATTTTATTTTGTGCTTAATCTTGAAAATGGAAATATACTCAATATTTAGAATTTTAGATGACAAGTTTTTTTCCTTACATAAGGCAACAATAACAGCAACCAAAAATCTATGGAATTGGAACATTTTATTCCATCACTATACTCAAACAATTGTATTTGTAATTCAAATGGTACTGAAGTAGACAGTATTTAATGCTTAGAGCGTCTATTTATATAAATATAATAATGCGCATTGTCAGAAATTAAAAAATTTATGATACAGCACTTCCTTATTCATACAACAAAGGCTGTATAAATAAGGAAATGGGTTAAATTGCAAAAGAGCACAAAGCTTAAACCTTTGTGGCTTGATTTTCAGTATTTTAAAAGCCTATAGAATTGAACAAGTTATATCAACAATAACTAATTGTGCTTCAAGCGTTAAGAAACTGGCTCTGAAATGCTTTGTAATTTCTACCACAGAGTGGTAATTGTGCTAGGTCTCTGAAAGAACTTCATTTTAACTCACTATGTGAATTTGTTTTGGCATAGGTACACTAAAATATAACTTATTTTATATCTTTGACATTAGTTCTGTTTTAGGCTATCTTATCTCTGTATGCTAGCATGTTGAATCTTGGAATAGGTTTCTCAGGATAGATAACATATGCATATGATACTGGCTTTATTATTATCATCATCATCATCATCACTTGGCGAGAATGGAATTGTGATTTAATTCTATAAAATAGGAAAATAATTATAAATTTGTTTAAACTCCAAATACAACAACAAAGAAAATAATATGGTACATTGGTAGAAAAGGAAATAAACTAACCTTTGAAAATGGAAAATAAAATTAAACAATGATGGAAAAGAGAAATTTATCCACCAGTAAACTTACTTCTTTTTTAATTTTTTGCTGACAAAATACATGCCAAGTGCTCCAACATATTGGATAACATATTTCTCCCAACTGTTAAAATTTGCCTTCTCTGCTATGTAGCTGAACGCCTGGACTGCCTCTTTCCAAGTGCGGTAGATATTCGGGGGCAGGTTGTGTACCAGAACATCATCTACCCATATGCGCCATTTTCTTTCGCGTCTGGAGTTAATGGCAAAGATAAAGAAACTCTATGAAATAATAGGTCCTTGCTACTGCTTTAAAGGTTTTAAAAATAATTTGTTACTGTTATAGACGCAGGCGCGGATCCAAGATTTTCCCTGACATTCGCACAGAAGGGGTGGTCCTTGCAATGATGGATCTAGAAATTCAAAATAGAGGGGTGCCGGAAAAGCAGGTTTTCCACTAGGCGAATTTATTTGCGCAAATCGAAAGCGTCGGCTTATGCGCATTCACATTTATATCGGAGTTTTGCAAAGCGAAAAAATGCGCAGCCAATCAGAGCTTCGTGCGAATAAATTCGCCTAGTGGAAAACCAGCTAAAGGGACCTTTAAAGATACACCTCAGCCCCACCATAGTTGGTGCTGAGGCATGAAAAATTAAAATTCTGTCACCTCTAGATAGCTGGAAATGGCGCTCTCAGAATTTGAATACAATTTTAATTTTTCTTCTTCATTTTTTAAAAATAATTTTGAAATATTTATGGGGGTCCAGTCCGGCTGGGTTCTGCTTGAATCCGCCACTGCATGGAGGATCCCCTAACCAAGCCTGGAAAACTAATTTTTGTTCCTCCGACCATGAAAATCTTGATCAAATGGCTCCAGGACAAAATGTTATCTTTACACTATTATAGCGAAACAATAGTACATTTAGTGGTTTGCAGCAAAAATATTATATTTATGCATTAAATTGTGTTGTGCCAAAAAAAAAAAAAAAAAATGTTTTCTTCAAAAAATGCCTCTGGGTTAAAGGTCAATGCCTCTGACCGCCGGTTGCGCACTTTATCCAGCCCTGCCTCTAATGCTCAGGTGACCTAGGGTTGTAAAACAAATATTGCTAATTACAACATTTCTATAAAAAGATAAACGAACAGATTCTTGAAACCACAAGGAAGATATTGCAGCGGTAAATCCAGAAATTCCAAATAGAGGGGGCCCTGAGAGGGACCTTTAAAGATAGACACCTCAGCTCTATTGCTGAAAACAATAATTAAGCCAAATATATTTTCATTCATTCTGTTGTTCATGTGAATCTCTGACTGGTTATTACCTTAAAACAATGAGAAAACCACACAGTGTCATTTAATTTTTTAGTGTTCGCCTAATTAATTACTCTGGCTACATTTACTTTGATGGCAAAATATAAGGTATACGGCACTGCACACTGAAATCAAACCAAATTAATTTGGTTAAGTTGTATAATTCAATAAGTTAAAAATAAGTGTCATGGAAAGTAAGTATGATTGTTGGGAAAAATGGTCAACATTTTATTTCTCATCGTGACCTTCGCCACGGTGAACTGAACTTCTACATAAGCATTGTGAACCTATGAATCATCCAATACCAAATACCCTGGATGTAAGATAACACATTCAGCTATTGTGCATTAGAAATTTATAAATATATATTCAGTAGCATTACAGTAGATGTTTATGAGCTTCAATTTGTAAAATTCAATTCCATATTTCTAATAAAGTTTTCACGTCAATTAACGTACAGTTAAATACCGTATTCTTTCCTTTAGCATAGAATATTAAATTGGCTCAAAGTTATTTGAAAAGAATTAGTAATTTTGATATTTTATCCTTTTTTTTAAATCAAATTTTACCCACCATAATTAAAACCAAATGGTAACCATCTTAATTATAGATTATTAATCTTTTAAAATGTTATCACTTTTTATACTTAGTCCTGCATGCAGTTAATGATGTACTGTATGCTCTTTGATTTTTTTAGTGTTTTTTATATCATCACTACCGTGTATATGCATGTAGAGCAGTATAGCTTCTCACTGAGGATTGGCCTGCGGCTCTACCACCATGCACTGCTAAGTTGGCAGCACAACTTTTCGAGGGCAAAAGAAAATAAAAACTTAACTACTGAAAATATATATGTAACTAATTTAAACAGCATTTAAAGAAGATATGTATTTTTTAAATTGTAAAATATTACTTCATTTCTTTGGTTCTTCCGGGTATTCCAAGCATAATCTCATGACGATTGGCATACTCCACAACCTTCCGACTCATCCATCCTCCTGACTGGCTTTCAATTTTAGGGAAAAAGGTAACAATCTGACGGAGATCCTTATTGTCTGCCACAAGAAAACTTTTCAAAGCACTGATTATCACTGAAGAATCATTCATTTGCTGAAAGATTTATTGAGAAAAATTAAAGGTTAACATTTGCTTACTTTTGTATTCATTCTTTTTATTTACCATTTTATAACAAAGGCAAAAATATGAAAAGTATTGAGACATTTTTGTTTATGAGGTCATGTACAATAGTATAATATTTCAAGTACTCTTTCAATTTTAAACCTCCCAATTACAAACTCCATTTTATAAACTTGATTTGCAGTAAATGACAATAATGAAAATTGACCTTTTTCAACTAACAAAATATATACATTGCAGGGGCAGATCCAGAATTTTTCAAACGGTGGGGCACAACAATTTCAGAATAGATAAGTGAGTAGTGCTAATCTCAATACGTAACATGGATATGCATTAAAATTTTAAAATTTAGTACTTCCCTCTTTCCTTCATTATCTCTGAATCCATTCTATCACATCTATGTTGTCGATGATTGTTATTGGATGTTGCAGATTTGCTATCATTGTTGTTGGTTGAATTGTTGCTTGTTGGTTGTTGAAGTTCTTGGCTATTGTTATTTTTATTTGTTTTTTTATGTTCTGCAGTAGTTGTGTTCCTGGATGTTGTTCTTGGTTATAATTGTCCATGGGTTTTTTTTCTCTTGATTTTTAAAATCATCTACTAAACATTCAACACAATAAAAAAATACAACCCTATAGCACATAAAGAGGTCTCTCCTGTGTGTGTATGCATGCAAGAATAAAATAAATACATAAATAAATAATTCTACTTTTGTGCGCTAAGGTTAGTGAACGACTAGGGGCACTCCCCAGGGAGCAGAGAAGGTTGCACTTTGTACAGGTTTGCCATTGTACGTTATCCAGTGACCAGGGGTAATAACGCTTGCGCCTTTGCTTTGATCATTCAATTTGGAATTAGTTAGGGCCTTATAAATGTTTGGGTATTATTTCTCATTTTTGTTAGAATACACACCACTTGATCATCTTCTTCTGGGCCTTCATAAACAAGTATTGGAACTTTTCGGTATTCAGAGAATTTGATTTCTTTCCTGAAGATTGGGTCAACCTCTACAATATTGTAAGACAGGCCATGGTAATCAAGAAATGCTCGAACTTTGCAGCAAAATGGGCAAACTTGATATTGATACAATGTGAGCTTAAGTCCGGTTGTGTCAGTCTGCCTTGTTATATGTTCTACTTCTCGTGCCTGAATAAAGGAGACCCCTGGTAGTAAAACACTTGAACTCTGAGCTAGGCCTATGCCCAGACTGCCATCCAGCGCCGATGATGCACGTTTATAAACGCTCCGGCTCCACGAAATCCCGGCAATAGTAGCTGTCGAGCCAATTGTAATCAGAGAACCTAATAAACAAGTGGATCTGGTGAGTTTAAAATTTTTAGTACTAAATTTGTAAAACGATAATTGCCTACACTGGCTGAAAAATATTTCATGATGAATTTCCATAAAATTTTGCCTAGGCCTAGGCATGTTCAGCCCTGCACAACGGAGAAAATACCGACACCTGGAGGCCGCCATGTTTAATTACGTTTTGCTAGTACAGCCTCTCAAAAGGATGTTTTATAAACAGCACATTATAAAACTTAGTCTTTAAATTAAATAAATTTATTTATATATTAACGGAAAATAAAATTCGTATATTATGATTTTGTTATTAATATCATATGTACTTAATACAAATTTATATTTTAGTATGATATTAAAATAAGTCTATTTTACGAAAAATTGACTCCCAGCATCCAGGATGCAATTGAGCGCACCTGGCTTGGGGATTTCCCCAAAGTGCGAGGCACGCAGCAGGGAGTAGTTTCTTTGATCGAGGCAATCGTAAAGTATTAATCAGGTTGCAAATTTTTCTGTACCACCGGTGGTGTATTTTATAGGACACATCTGCAGCATACTGAATAATCGAAGGCAGTAAAAACACCAAGGTAATTTAATTACATATTTTTAATTATTTATAGACCTAGGGCCTTGGTAGTTAGCTGTGGGGAGGAATGAGGTGGTGGGAGCATGGAGGAATTATTCCTCCATCCATGCATGGTGGGAGGTTTGCCGCCTGGTGGGTACTAAATGCATGGATGGCCATGTTGTTGTAACTTGTAGTATTTATGATGAGGTACGTCAATCAAAGGCCAAAAAATACAGTATGCTAGGATATTCTGGGTCTGTGCAACACCTGTACCACATCACTTGTGAAATTGAATTTTTTAACATTAAAAAATATAATACAAACAGTTTCAATGTCTGTTGTTTTTTAAATTCATTCAACAATATAGGCCTATCTACATGCAACAATACGCCTTTTCACGGTGCGGTAGACATCTTCGATCGATGACAAACAATGCTGAGCAGCGAAGCGCAAGGGCACATAGAAAAAATTATTAAATTTATCACTCTTTTAAAAAAAAAAAATCAATGATGGAGTTTAGTAATTGTAAATGTAACAATAGTAAACAACAAACTAATAACATATAAAACTGTGCAATTTATTTCCAAGCGAAAAACGTATGGTAGATAAAAAGAAAAACACTTGAGGTGTAGATCGGCAAACAAAGAATATACAAGTTGAAACAATAAAGAAGTACTGTTTATCAAAAGGTGTAATTCAACGGAGTACCAAAGGTTCAGATAGTTGCGATATATATGGCATTACCAATCACTCCCTATGACCAATAGGAATTGAGAATTACAGTGGCCTTATTTTATGCCAGGGGAGTGACCACATTCCAAAATAATGCAGACTGCTTAATCAATGTATTTATTATCTTTAAGGGGGTCTTAGGTAGCTGTCTAAACGACTGTACCATGTGAAGATATATGAGGTCGTTGGACTTTATATACAAAGATGGTTAAATAGTTAAAGTTAAAATAAAGTGAAAATTCTCTAAAAATACACACACCATGTTTGATAATAGTGGTATGAAACTGCTACAGGAGGGCGTTTTTTTTTTTAAATTTTTTTTATTGGAACAATAGATTATTTTGCTTTTGTTTTTATTGATGAGGGAGGGACATATTAGGGAAATTCTTCCTAATCTGTTTAAAAGTATTTGAAGTGAATTTGGAAGTTTAATATTACAGTTGGACCAAACACAATTACAGTATTCAAAAAGAGGCATAACTAGAGTGTTAGTCAACATCTTAACGAGTATTATGGGGTAAAAAATATTTAACATGGCGGACACCAATCTCTAAACACCAATGCGTTTAGAGATGTTGCCAGTTAACTTCTCAATATGTTCAGACACGGGAACAGTGAAATTACATGGAATGATCTCGAACTACTAAGGCGTGCTAATCCTATTAGGTACCTATTGTTCACTATTGTTCTTGTCTAATTGCCCCTGCTGTGTCCTAGATCTTTGGGCCTAAATGCGCAACAGGCAAGCGAAAAGGATAAAAATATCCCCACCAACGTCAGGAAATTTCTCTTTGACTTCAAACCTCTTTTGTGTTTTTTTACAAATATACAGCAATTTAATACATAAAGACTGGTTTAAAAGCACTTTACATATGTTTTAGAAGAGTTTCCTGTCAAACTCCATAGTGTGATTTAACTAAGCAAGCAATCATAAGTCATTTTTTGGTATGTATGTGTACTAGCATTGTGCCAAATTACTTATTTTCTAGACTATAATTATAAAAACCACAATTGCTCGTCATTCCGGTTTTGATGTATTAAAAGGTTGATATTTAACTTGAGCGAGCAATTGTGGCTATCAGAGATATTTGCCCATTACTGAACCTATATTTTGCATAGGACTCGTGCAAAATTCGGTGATCATCGGTAAACCCGGAAGTAGACCTAAGCCTAGCTATCTGCCGGCATACTCGTGTTTGAATTGAGCTATTCTCCTAACTGTATGTTGAGCCTACAACTGTATTTTTAAAATGTCAATAATTTTATTAATATTTTTATTATTATTATTAAGCCTATGCGCTTATCTTAGTTGGCCTGCCCAAGTAAGGGTTGTTTCATTTGTCACCTGTATCCCTTTTTATTTGTTTTTGTTGTGATAGCAGTTTAGTGATGATGCATACAGTTAGGAAAGCCCGATCAAGCTCAATAAGTTTTTAGCTTATATAAATCACCTACGGCTAAAACTTTTTTTTTTTATCTATTTTAGGTTAAAGTCAGAAAATATAGATGGGCAGAGATGAAAGAGTGAGAGGTTGACTCTACAGCTCATAATTTTTACTCCATTGCTCTGCTTGCTTGTCTCCTTCTCAATCAAAATAAGATTAGATGGAATTTATACTAAATTGTAATGATTTTTCAACTTTTAAAAACTTAATCAAAACCCAGGATGTCATATGCTTTATCATTTAAACTGCAAAGTTATGTTTTCTTGCCTGATCCAAATTAAATACTGCAAGTTCTTTTCATTCTGATTTACATTCTGAATGTACAGGTATTTTTATTTTAAAATCCAAACAAGCAATATCCAATGAATATTTTTTTTTGTGGGGGTGGGGGGGGGGGAGGTGACGAGACAAGTTTTTTTAACTCCTTCTAGTCATGATCCCAATGATGGTGGTTTATTATTTGTATTATATTGTATACTATTATTATTTCCATCATTGAATAAATGTCAATTGAATTTGAAATTTGAATTTTTTTGAACGTTCATTTTATATATATTCTTAATAAACTCTTTACCTTGCATTTCATTCATGTTTGGTGTTCTAAAAGGACGTTCCGCAAACTATGGTCCGCGGCCCAAATTTGGGCCGCGAAACATTTTTGGAGGGCCGCGAAGCCGTCTAGAAATTGAAAAAAAAATAACAAAGAGATGTTTCATCATGGAGAATAGTTTTTAATGAAGCCGCTTCATTGTTTCAGTGAATGCGTCGCTTGCACACGCTGCTAAAGTGCCATATGATGTGTGCTATTTAAGTATGGTTGTAGTGTAGTCCTACTTATTTCGCGTAGTAGTTCCTGTACTACAGAGTGTGATGCATATGCGCGCAGCGATTTTATATTGCGTGCACGTGTAATGAGGCACTAATGTGGTGGCCTACGTGTATCCTAGTTCTTGGATCCCGGCTGCCATTGAGTAAAGACGTGTGTTATTGTTATTGAGTTGTTAAATAAAGTTGTTGAACCCACAGCCTGTTCAGTCTCTTCTTCTGTAGCATTGGATTCACCCAAATACATTGACGTCGATCGCCATGAGAACACGATAGCAAGCATGCACAAAGCATTTGTAATATAGTTGTAAATTGTTTATCAGTTGATGATAAGAGCGGCGGTACCGTGGGCTATAACCTTTGATGCTCAGTTCGAGATGTTTCCATGTAATTTCACTGTTTTCTGGTTCAGACCATGTTAATTTAGAATCAAACACAACTCCAAGATATTTGAATGAATCAAGTCTGTCAATAGTCATGCCATTGTAAAATAGTGAAATATTCGAAAATTTAGGTAAAATTGCATTAGTTCCAAAGATCATAAGTTTAGCTTTCTTAATATTTAATGTAAGTTTATTTTTATCAAACCATTCAGCAACTTTGATTAAATTTGAATTTAGTTCATTTTGGAGAAGAGTGAGATTGGAAGGATTGCATAAAATGGTAGTATCATCTGCATACATTACACATTTACATTGAGTGACATTTGGTAGGGAATTAGATAATAAATAACAATGGGCCTAAAATGGACCCTTTGGGAATATCAATGTTAATTTTCATTGGACTAGATAGGGTTGAAATAATTTGAACAATTTGAGACCTATTATTAAGATAAGAAATAACCAATTTAGTGCAGATTCCTGAATTCCATAGTCATTAAGTTTTGATATGAGGAGTTTGTGATCAATTGTGTCAAAGGCATGGGTTCATAATTGCCATTAATTACTACCACTAACAGGACACGTTGTATTAATGGCACGGTCAGTTAACGCTGTGTTGTAAGGAACTGAAGGTTGTGAGTTTGATTCGCGCCTCAGTGTTATTTTTTTAATTTTTAAATTTATTTTTTTGTATAAAGTAATATTTTAAGATATTTGAGAGCTGTTTGATAAAAAAAAAAGTGGGAGAGCAAATAAGATAGACATTTTTAAATAATAGAATGTTCACTTGTTTGTACAAAATTAAAAGGTCCTAAAATTGAAAAAAAATCAAATGTCTTAAAATTGAAAAAAAAGGTAAAATTAAAGTAAAAGACCAGGACGCGATTTGAAATCAAGGCATTTGGTTCAATAGAACACATCGTTAACAGACCGCGCCTATGTCATATTAGTTGTAAGGGAATATGTACAGTCCTTGGTATTGGTGGCGCACTTCACACAAAAAGATCAATTAATTAATTAATCAGCCTAGTACTTTTAGAACTAGAACTTAGAACTTTTAGAAGTAAGAGAGAATTTTTTAAATTATTAGATTAAATAATTTCTACAAAATTAAAATTTATTTATTTATTTTATTTATTCAGGTTTAAAACATCAAAGTTCCAAACCAGCAGCAAAAGCTAAAATGGTTGGATTACAGAATCAACTTCTTGCAAGAGTTACATACAAAATAATAATAATAAAAAAGAAAAAAAAAAAACACTGCCAAAACCACTATTAATTAAAAAAGATACATCCAACAAAAAAAATTACAATAATTTTACAAGGAATAGAATTGTTGAATTCTTAATCTTTCAGTATGACATCTGGGAGGATCCAATTCTTTATCACTGCTCCTTAGCTATCTTGTATGTCTTTCACACTTATATGCAGGCAACATGTTTCTAAATCTAGTAGAGTCCAGAAGGTTCTTACCAAATTTCAGGAGAAGGGTTTCTCTAAAAATGTCTTTAAAAAAAATTAACAGTTGAATATAAAACGTGATTCAAACTCATGGCCTTTGTTTGCTTAGAACCATCGTATGAAACCGTCATATTGATGGCGGGTTTAACTGACCGTGCCATCCATACGACGACATGGAAATGGCAGTTATCTACAGTCGTTGCTGAAACTCCTGATTTGTTTCAAGTGTATGAAGCACACTGGGGTGCTACTTAAAAAAGGGCATTTGTTGGAAATCACCTCTAGTTTATGCATATCAAATTTGATGCATGTTCACCGAGGCGCCGAAACTGGCACCAAATCCTTCAGCCAAGTGTTTTTAGAGCTTCTCATCGCAGCTAATAATAATAATAATAAAAATAATTGGCCGCTAATAATAGATTAAAAAAAATAAATTTGAAAAGCAAATTTTAGGCTTAGTATTTGATAGCATACTTTCTTTACAGATTTTGAGAAAAGAGTTGCAGAATGGGAAAGCTGGCATTTGTTATTGTCTCATTGGTGTTGTTGCTTCTGGTACCAGATGCAATTGCAGACTTTACTTCTGGTAAGCTATGTGCTAATGTTAGTGAATGTAAACAAAAGCATCAAATATTTAGATATACCTCCATGATGGAACTCCCTATTCCAATGAAAATGTAATAGTTAATTTTAGTATTTAACCCAGGTGCATTCGCACCCCCAGCTTACGACCAAGGGGAAGGAATTGGGGAGAGATATAAAATATAGTAATAAAAATATCTTAATAATTATTAATTTTGCAGAAGCGAAAGTACAATCTTGCCAAGAGCAAGGAATAGGCATGAGCCTAAACAGAAACTGTTCTTACTTCACATAAAAAAAAAAACAGATATTCATTTTTTTTCCCTTCAACTCTCTCTTTTGAATCAAATGTCTACAAAAGAATACCAAATATACAGCCCAGGTGACAGCAAGGGAAAAGAACAAGGAATAACAGGAACATAAAAATGGAATAAATAATATTGTTGAAAAATAAAGTGGAAGAAACCAGGATGAGCATTTAATGATTTAAGATATATTGATACAAAAACAGTCTTGTCATGTAGTCTGTCTGGTGAAATTTTACCAGGTTTATTTTGGATATTGTAAAGCGCATTAGGCTTTTTCTCTAGAGTGCGCTATATAGACTGTGGTGTTATTATTCTATTACTCTTAAATTTTAGAATGTGGTGGAAACTTAAACGTTGAAAATGATACTTTTAATTCGCCAAATTATCCATTTGACCCCTATGGACCAAGCATGAATTGCACTTGGAGAGCTGACATCTCTGGTGGTATGTTCTTGTACTTTGATCTATTCAACCTGGACGGTTCAGGGGATTATATTGCTGTCGAAGATGAAAATGGTTTTGTCGGCACATACTTTGGAATTCAAAGTAAGCTTTCAGTATTCATTAATTTGTGCTTTTTTGTGTTTAATATAATCATATTAAGCTATCTATTATATTTATACGGAATACATCTATAATATTTTGGTTTTAGGTGAGGTAGTGAATTCTACTTCCTGAGGTGTGGGATGGTCGATCCTCCCGACGTATGTGCAAGGGAAGTAGAATTCACTGTTATTAAAATAATACCATGTTTGATTTGTTACTGTACCTTGTAAATATTAAGCAGGAAAAACAGCCATCTACATTCATCATTTTTTTCTGTACTGAGGGTTGAGTTGACCAATGGAATGTTGTTATTAGATGTAATTTATATTTATGAGGTATAGTAAATAAAAATATGGTGGCCTTTAATAATTGATTAGGGAAGAGCTTCAAAGTCTACTCTTACTATTTTGGACAAGGTTCATTCAAAAGCAATAAGAATTATCAATGATGCTAAATGCACCCAATCTATCAATTCTCTTCCTCATTGACACCGTGTTGCAGGTCTTTCCCTGTAATGGATTTTCTTCTTAAGTCTAGAATAAATACTTCCCAAGTTACAGCCTAATCAAAGTTCTACTGGGAGAATCTGCAATCATAGCAACAGAATCATTTTCAAAATCCTCTCCGAGAGATATTAACCTTGGGTCTGATGATTTTGATAGGTGATTAGGAAGCAATATTAACATAGTGATTGCTTTTTGACAGGACCTTTCGTCATCCAGTCTTTTTCCAATGTACTTTACATTAAGTTCATCAGTGGAAATAAAACCAACCCTAATTGGAGCAGACACTTTTCAGGCAGTGTTCAAAAAGGTTAGTATTATGCTTAAAGTATCACTTAATGGTTTTCGAAAATTTCATTGTTAATTGCATTGTGGTGACATACATTTAATGCCATTCAACCAGTGAAACTCTTTGAAATGTTTATAAAGTAAAAAAGTGTTGGAAGGTTTTGCACTCCCAACTTGAGTTGCATCATAGCGCCATTGATCATTCCATTCTGACTGTGGATTTTAGTGCTCTAAAAGTCCTTGTTGAATGATTGATTGATATTTAAATACATCTGCCTTTAAATGAATCAAATTTTTTTTTTTTATTATTTATCATAAAACATTAAAATATTTTATGTTGTTATTATTTCTGGTTCTTATAATTCACATTAAGCACAAAATAGATTTGATAATTTTTATTTCAATCTATGTAAAAATATTCAATATTTAATATCAGCTTATCTATTCTTTGGGCTTTAAGATGTACATTTAAACATACAAATAAATGAAGACAAAACAAACTATATAATTCAAAACAAAATCTAATGAAAGATCGACGGTTCGGGTCCATCATGGAACCATTCTCAAGATCAAGTAAATTGAAAAAACTAAAAACTAAAATACCAAGCAGTGACAGGATGTAAGTAATTAATTTACATATCAATAGGGCCTACTGTGTGGAGCCATAGTGGAGCTAAGCAATAATTAATCCTTCAAAACAAACTAGAAAGGAAAAAGGGCTTCACATGGAACTGTTCATTGAACAGGCCCATTTGTAATGGACCTTTCATGTGTGTCAATCAAACTTGACAACTCGCCAATCAAAACAGTGCCAGGAATGTGTGTGTGTGTCTATCAAGCACACGTATTGTCTCACACACACATGTTTGCGTTTGATAATGATAATTTATTCGGAAACTACACTTTTGAAACAGTGGCAAAAATAAAACTTCAAACAAAATACAGTACACTAAATAAAAAAAGTACAAATTGAGTAAACGTAACTCAAGCATTTGACGAGCCCCCCCCCCCCCACACATCCAACATCCACCCTCATCAAAGTATTATATGAAATGATGCCACAATAAAGAGAAATGATGGACAAAATGGCCATGTCAATCCCCTGAGTGACCCTTATTCAATTAAAAGTAAATATATATAATACGAAGTAAACAAAACTTAAAACTAAAAATTCTAAATGCAGTAAATAACAAAGGAAAAAGAATTAAACTTGAAAACAAATAAATAAAAATTTAAAAACAACAAAGATGTTCAGAATACCGAACATCCCTGAAAGCATACATTTCCCTCATCTATTACATGTTCATCTTCCTCATGAGAGCACAAAATCTACTCTCACCGCAGCGACCCCCTCCCAACCCATAGAGTTAAATGTGCGTATGTTTAACACTCTCATTTTGTGGCACCTGAGCAATAATATCCACGGAATGGGTCTTAGTGGAAAGTTACCACATTAAAATAGTTGGGAGAACTGGTGTAGTATACTCAGACATGTACAGTATCTGTTGATTATTGTTGCTGTTGATTCTGTTTTCTGTTGCTCTGTTGTTTTTATTGTAGTTGTCATTTTCATCGTCATCATTGCTGTTTATGCTGTTACATTACTTTTTGCTTCAGTTGTTGTTATTGTTATTTATGTATTATCAGTGTTAAAATTTAAATTATTAATGTGTTATTTTTATAATTAAACAAAAACCAGAATAAAAGGAAAAGACGTTGTACTCTTTGCACAATTTTAAAAACTTCTTACTTTTGACAAAAACAATCTTTTGAGCAGTTAGAAATTGATATCAATAAAGGCAAGCGCTCAAAATATGTTTATTATTGTTGTCTTTCAGATTGCAAAATAAACTACCTGGGTGAGCCGTATGGGTACATTTTCACACCACTTATGCAGGAACAAAATGCAAGCAAAACATTTACTTGTACTTGGCGAATAGCTAACTTTGTCTCTAAGGGAATCATACTATCCATTCTAACCGCCGATTTCACTAATTCTAGTGCAAATCTTTTGGTGTATGAGGGAGCGTACGATATTGATGGAAAACTACTTGGAAATTTTTCAGGTGCTAATTGAATTTTAAATTATGGTATCGTTGATGATGGTGGAGAGTGTAGATAGAAATGTAAAATGATGATAAAGGTGGATAATGATATAAAAGGATGATGATGATAATGACGGTGGTGAATATCACTGTGGCAAAAATGTGCTGATAGATTACGACGATGGTGGCCACAACAAAGGTTATGATGGTGACAAAAGATGATTTGGAACGATGACGATGGAGGATGATGATGAAATAGTGGATGATGGTGATGTTGATAGTGGCATATACGGATGGTGATTTATGATAGAAGATAATGGGGTTGATGATGATGAGGATGATGATGGTAATGAAGATGGACATATGGATGGTGACTTATGGGAATAATGGGGATGACGATGATGATGAATATGGAGGATGATGATATGGTGTCTAATAATGTTGGTGGGGTGGTACAGATCATTTCGATACTGTATTTTGATATTTCAAATCCTGTGACAATACAGGGATTTTTTCTCATGACTAAACCCCATCTCCATCCATAAGCCTTGGAATAAGAGTTGAGTTTATAAAGCATTACATCATTTCATCAATTGAAGAGGGCACCTGTAGTTTTGTGTCTTGTTCGAGGGTGCAATGGAAAGAAGTGTCTCACACTGCTTCGGCTCCACCTTCATTTAAGGTGAAAATAATTAAATGATAATGGTCAATGATGAGGTGATGATGATGCTGAACAATATGGATTATGATGATAATGTTGATGATGGATGGATGGATGGTAATTATTTATTATTTCATTATTAAGACTAGTAATGGCATCTGACCAGGTTGAAACAAGCACGCATCATTTTAATTAAACTAACCTTGAATTTTTGATGCGTTACAAATGGACATGAAGATGTGTTCACAAAAAATTGTTTTTTTAACATGATTTTTATTATTGACAGCGGAAAACCCAGCTCATGCGGTAGTAACCAGCAATAATGAGATGTATATCAACTTGACGTATGATACTTTAACTCTACCCACTCTGACAGGCTTGTACCGAACGACAACAGCAGGTAGATTAATATTGATATTTTTGATAATATTGATAACCAATAACTAATAAAAGTAATATTGATAAGTGTTCCATCCATTCTAAATTCTGCACGTTAATATAGAATTGTAGATTGGTTGTAGTTTATAGCAGGTAATATAGACATTGACATTTTGTTACACCAGTCCTAATTTTGATTGGATGTACAGTACTATTACCCAATCCATACAAACAAATAACATCAACATTTTTTGTCAAATGTAGCCATACCTTGTCAGTTTCATCAAAAATCAGGCGGTGTAAAGCTAGTACAGATTATCAAATTTTTGTTGACAAAAAAAACCTGTTGTATGCACATATTTAGTCATGATGTGCCTATAAATGGTCATGATGTGCCTATAAATGGTCATGATGTGATGTCATCATGACCAAATTTGGGCATGTCACATGTTTGTCAAATACAATGTAATAGTCTAGACACAGGGCTTATAACATTCTCAAATTGCTCAAGCTGTGTGGTAAGTTTAACTGAGTGAAGGTTGACCAGGAATAATAACCACGCTGTTTTCCTCAACCAGAAATGTCAAATGCAAATAGCACGTAATACTGCTCACGTCAATGAAATTTTCATAGAGTGCATCCACAGAGACTGACCATGCAATGTACTAAATTCTACTATATGTTGTTTTGCCACAGACAAAAAACTTACATATTTCAATTGCAAACACAATGCTCTGACCAAGGCAGAGCTACCCACCATCTTGGGAAAAGTTTATCCAATGCGAATGCAGCTTTCAATTCAAATAATATTGATGACAGTGTATTACTCTTAAATATGTACATCAACAGATATAAAGACATGAGACATTTATTATCTTAATAGAATGCACCAAGAATGTGAAAGTTAATGTCAATGACGATGACGATAAGACTACAGTCATTTCTTCCATCGGTTATCCGATTCAGTACCGCAATGATTTGGAGTGTTGGTGGTTGATAGAATCAGATATGGAGGACAGCACTCTGGGTATATCGGTGGATGACGTGAACTTATCTGATGATGGTGACCGTTTGGTTTTCTACTCGTCGACCAACCTCTCATCCAAACCTCTTGCAGAAGTTGGAGGTTCGATAACAGGTAGGGTGTGTGATCCTCGCATCTGTACACAGCATCCACAGCATCTAATCAACATCCCTTCTTAATCTTTAGACATCTGTATTAAAAAAATTAGTTACAATTACACAATTTCCTTGCATAAGGGTTTTTAGATAAAGCAAATTCATCTTTTAACAGTGAGAATGAAAACAATCAAACAATTACAAAGTAATACTGTTTCTACAACTAAATTGCATAGAAATATGTACAATTTTGTAAACACTGATTATTGATTGACTACAAGATCTGGCATATATGGGCTAGTAGTACTTTACTCTTTGTTAATGTGTCATCAGCAATTGCACTTGCCTGTTACAGGATCAATTGTATAAATTTGTTTAAGTGAGTTATATAGTTCATTTTGGTCCTGAGAGAAAAAAAAATTATCTTTGAACTCTTGACCGTCGGAATTAGTGGTGTCATCTTGAGACTCTTGCAATTGGCCAATGCCAGCCTTGGTTAATAAACTTAATATTTAATCGTGTTTATCTGTATATTATACACATATTTTCCCCAAAATTGTAGTATATAATAACATTGTTTTATCATTTGGCCATTTGTTTTTCCTCAACAGAACAACCGTTTTTTGTAACAGAGGGCAACATGATGTTGGTTAGCTTCAGAACGGGTGACATGGGCACAGCTGGAGGCTTCTCATTTCAAGTATTTGCTCAAGGTACCACATTTTTGTTGCATTCTAATCTAGAAGCAAGCAACCTTTATTAATCTAATTAAAGTGTATTGATTCATAATACATCTAAATATATCAATTTTTTGACATAATATTCATAAGTTCATTTAGAATTAATATCAAGTGACAATGTCAGTATTTCGCATAATCTGTCTAATTTGCAATACAGACAATACCTGTATATACAGGTATAATGTGTTACTTTTCATGGCTCAATCAGGTCAACAATGCATTAGACAAATAGCTGACTGCGTCTAAAATTTGGCTGTGACTTATAGTGAAGAAGGAAAATGGTATTTTGATTTTTTTTTTTGCAATTTTTATCAGATATTGGTGGTGTTATCAGACCAACGGATTCAGGCAACATGTGAGTTTGTATTGAAACATCATCATAGTAATATCAGCTGCATTTTACAGTTAACTTAAGTTTTAATAGTGAGAATATTGAAGAGAGATGTGTCAATGCAACACTCACAATATTTATGAATTATTATAACTTTGTAAATACCAACAATGTACTTGTATTCTGTACTTTATTCTGAACTCCTCTATAGTACAAATTCCAGCACACAGTAGGGAGTTTTCGATTGCACAATGTGGTAAGACATAATGACGTCACTATCAAGTCATCGCCGTATGCGAGAACGTTAAGCACTTGTTGTCCCATGGATTCTAGGACGCATTTTGGCTGAATCTAGTTGTACAGTGGACGGTATGACGGTCACGCATGAGTGAATCCATTCTAGCGTCATATCACGTCACGAAAACTCCCTTAATGTCATGTTGTTTCTCTACGCATATGATCTCATGACCTTTTTAACCTGAACCCATGTCTGCATTTAGTGAGAGTTGTTTCTAGGCAAATTTCTCTACATTGAATAACTCACGATTAAGTTTATATAAAGATTTGTTTAAGAGTGCCTCTGGTTTTCACATGGGCTTTACATCCCATCAGAGCAATATTTGATGACATCAATGTAATAATCTTATAGAAGTCATTGATTTTTTTTTTAACCTCAGATCGTTGAAACTACAGAAGAACAAGCGCATCTTGTACCTGTTACAGACTGATGACGACCTTCAACCTGTTGTTAAACAGGTAAAGCAGACCAACTACCCAACAACAGGCAACCTGACTATCTACTACTACCAAGATTCATGGAAAACTAGTGAGCCATTGGTAATGCAGACTCCAGCACAAGGCATTGTTCCTGTGATATTTTCAAACTCACAATCTATGTTTATATATGCTGAAGGATTTGATGAAGAGAAAAATGACACAAGTCTGACCCTGCAGGTCACTGCAGCCCCCTCTGGTAAGGCAAAATAATTGATGCGCTAAAAAAATGTCATTTCATATTCTAAAAACAAATTTCAACCAGGACTATGAATCACCTCGACCAAAATGAAATAGGTTTAAGTACATAGTTTTATATAATTTGTTTTTCTCCATCCAGGAACCAACCTTTATTCGAGGAATGCAAAGAGTGATAGCTTCACTGGGAAATCTAAAGAGAATTACTGGATTATAAATCCATCTTTTGAAAAAGGTATGAAATTATTGCTGCTTTTGATAATTATTAATTTTAATCTAATTTATAATTGAATTTCTTACACCTGTATGAGCTCTGAGTCGGCTTGTTATGAGAGACCAACCCTTCTTGGAATGTTGTTTACTATATGAATCTTTGTTGTCGTCTTGTGCTACCGACATTGTCCTGATTATCTGTAATGTACAGTAAGTCATCATCATCTTGAATTCTCACATTATAAACACTATTTCTACTAATTGTTAACGTCGTCTAGTGGAGTGGAGTTCGAAAGCTTGGTGGTTATTAAAATGCTTGCCTTCTAATTCCAGGGTCTTGGGTTCAATTCCTGTGTCAGTAGGAATTCTTCTTACAACTAAAACAACTCCACTCCCTAGTCCTCAATAAGAGACTTATAAACGAATTGTCCATCCTGTAATTGGCAAGTTGCTTGCTGTTGGATGCAATTGAATTTTGTTTTTAAAGTAAATTAAATCTATAAATAATGCAGCATATAGCGAGGGTAAATATGACACTGTAGCTTCTGGCATAATATTCTTATAGCGAAGATAACATCACACACCAACAGTCGATATAACTGCATTGTAGAGCCGGGGCAAATTTAGTGGGCCCCCCCCTTTTGGAAGGTAAAAAAAGAAAGAATAGAAAGAAAGGAAGGAAAAGAAAAAAAAAATAATCGCTCAAAATGCCTCAGATGTTATTTTCAGGCATCTAGAACACAAACATTTCACGGGGGCCTGGCCCTGGAACCCCCTAGGTACAATAGTGTTATCTCGATCAACCCTAATTTCGGGGCGCCCTCCCCTTTTGGACATCTCTGTATCCACCCCTGTAGAGGGTAGTTAAATGTATTGCCCTGCTCGGTTAAAGGAAAATTGTTTTGAAGAAAAAATAATATCGCATTGGAAAAAGTATGCGATCATGCGACCACCAGTTGGAGGCATCTTGAATGTTCTGGAGGCTTTTTTTGGGGGAAAACAAATTTTAAAATAGTAAACTATTGTACAGATAACATTTGATGCTAGATGCATTTTATTGAGACAGTTTTCATGGTCGGAGCAAACATTTTTTTTTCCAGGCCTGATTATAGTTATGTGTTTAGTCTCAATGTAATTATGTTACAAACTTTTTAATTTTTTTTTTTTTATTACTAAAAATTTTGGATAAAAAAAATGAATAACTACATTTTCTGTAACTTACCTTCAGGCATTATTGAGTTGACTTTCCAAGACCTACCAACACACGGAGGTCGTAACGTCACAATTAACCAGGGTCTGTATAGTAGCAAATCACAGAATATTGCTTCGTTCACTAGCAACACGAAAGAACTGTCCATCCACATCCCAATAGGTGATCCTATTCGAATCAGCTTTGTGTCAAAGGAAAAAACACCTCTGCCTTTTTATGCCAACTATCATATTATTGATGGTAAGTTTAGAAATTCATATTTTTTACTTTAAATTATATTTGTAATGTGTCCAAATAAAGTTAATTAGCTTTTAATTGGTTGATTAAAATATTGAGTGTAAGTTGTGATTGTTGATGATTGCAACACCATGTTTGATATATATTTGGTCTAATAAAAGGGGTACTAATTAATGTGTATAAAAGTCTTAGCAATATGTGCTATAAATAGATTTTATCATTATAAAAAAATGTTTATATTGTTATTATTTATATATTATATATATTATATTATTAACAAATTTATACTAAATAGACATTCATATACTTGTATGTCTTTTTAGTTTAAATTTCTTAATATTATTAACGGATTTATTCTAAAGTATATGAATGACTGTAAAATAATTTTTAGTTTAAATGTAGATCCATGATAGGTAAACAGATAATAAAAAAAAAACCAGTTTGGTTAAAAACATAGCTAATCTAGACAGAAATATGAACACAATACTATTTACTTAATGTAAGATTATTTCAAGAATAATTTAAGTTGTTTTCAATTTTTTAAAAGAAAATTAAACAAAATAACAGATGGAGTTGTAAAACACCTTGTTATTAAAGTCCTTAAAGTAAACTTCTTAATATAATAATAACAATGTTGGTGGTGAAACCGAGCAGGATGAGGGGGATATTAGGGTGTTGATACAGTTATATACTGTGATTATTGTATATAATTATAATTATTATAATTTTATATTTGCCGGGTGGCTCGGGAGGTTTTCGCCGGAATGCGGGCCGCTTCGGCGGTCCCGGATCCTCCGGTTTCTGCCCCTCCTGTCCCTGGGGATGGGTTCCGGGTGGCCGGCGAGTCGCCTATGGACGACTCGTCCGAGCATCTTGAGTCGGAATCTGAGGACATTGTCCTCGGCTTCGATCTCTCTCAGCTCGTGGCCCGGGCGATGCCGCCCATCCTTGATCATTTGGGGGTCTCTTATGAGACTCCGTGCTGGGGTGGTTTGGGGGCGGGTCTGTGGGGCCGCCGGCTCCTGCGCGTCCCGCCCACCCTGTCCCGGTTGTGGGACTCCACCCGGACCTTATCCTTCGCCTGAATTCCCAAGCGAAATCCAAGCCGGTTGCCGCGCCGCGGCGTCTTACGGCTGCTTTTCCAGTCCCCGAGGACCAGTTCAAGCAGTTCATTCAGGCGCCGCCCATTCCTCGCGCTGCCAAGGGCAGACTGCGGGAGGATCAGAAGCTCTCTTCTACTTCTAAGGCTTTGTTTTCTAACAAAGCTCAGGGCGCGGCTGAGGAGGCTTTGGCCTTTGTGGACCGCGCGGCTCGGGAGGGCATTCGCACCGTGAATGGGGCGGGTTTGCTTTGTCCTTCTTGTCTGACGCCGACGCTAACCCAACTCTCGTCCCGGACGCCATTGGCCTCCTTCGGGCGGGCATTTTCATCTGGAGCCACTGACCTCGACTCTTTTCTCTTCCCAAATTTCTCTGAATAAAAAATCATTTGGCTAAATCTTTCGTATCAATATTTTGGGTTAGTTGAACTGATGATAAAATGTAGGTTCTGTACTCAATTTTATCCCAAATTTTCTTTCCCTCCAAAAAGGAAAATTAAATAAAAAGGACTAATAATCGATAATGATATAATAATTAATTAATGATAATCGTTTTTTTTTAATGATAAACAATATATACCTGTTGTTTTTTGTTGTTTCAGAATGTGGTGGAAACATGACTGCAGATAAGGGCAAATTCTCATCTCCAGGATTTCCGAAAAATTCTCGTGCATCTGTCACTTGTATCTGGATTGTGACAGTCCCTAAGCCCAAGGGGTCGATACTTCCTAGCATAGTTGTACTGAATGTTAATGGAACTCAACTGAAGGGTCAAACTAAAAGGTCAGTCACTTGCCATTGTAGTACTAAATGGCAGTTTATAGTCAGCCTCTGTGTCTGTTTTAAAGAGGATCTACAAATTCTCATATTTAATGATAAATTTAGGCTATGATATTTTAAATAATTCACAACATTGTATAATATGAATATATTATTGTAGGTTATGATTTTTAATGTTAAAATGATAATGATTATTATTATTTTAATTAATATTGTGTATTATTATCAAATAATTATAGTTAAGTAAAAATGCTAATACACTAATTTTTTCCATCATTAACCTAAGTTTTTTTTAGAATTTTATAACATTTAAGATAATGTAATGCATGGTGTATGAATGTAATCCTCCCTTGTTTATTAGGATGTTAACTGTTATTATTAGCAGTCTCTGCTACTTCATACTTTCTATTTCTGCAGCAACTACATAGAGATATATGATGGCCCAAATGTGCGCTCACCATTGGTTAATATCTCAACATTTAAATCAGAGAAAACAACATTCGAGAGCAGGAGCCAAAACATTGTGATCAAGTATGTTAACGGAAAGAACAAGGGTTTCCCGTTTCAGATGTCCTATTCAACTCATAGTAGGTTTTGAATGATATTGTTCTCCGCTTAACAGAAACTTATATCTTTCTTTGCATTTTTAATCATTTGGTATCCCTTTTGGCCTCCATACAACATAACTTGCATTGTTCAATGATTTTCTTTATTAAAGAAAATAGTCCCAAAATAACTTACAGTATACTATAACAACCTCATGAAAAATTTACTCTATACATATTGGCTGATGTTATTGTCAACCATAGCTGACCAATGCTGTATTTACTGTTTGACATAGTTTTTTTGGCTACTTTTAAAAGCCTGGCACTCAATAAGCACGACAGTTGTTGGCTGACGCGATTCTATGAAGAACGCAATGCGACGACGCGCGTTCAACGGATAATTATTAATGACGATCTGTTCAGACTGCTGCCGATAATCAGCAGAGGGAGCTAAGTTGGATTCGTCGTGCGCTGGTCACACGACAGTCGTACAACCGTCGTACGAAGCGCAATGAGTGTCCGGCTTAACTCATCCACATAAAAACAGACCTGTTGTAGTTCTTCTAGGACAGGTCTTATCTATAGCTAGCATCACATTTTGTAAACTAACTTTCCATTTTTATCTTTAGCTTTTGAACCATCCCTTCATTCCTTCACTTGGATTTACTCTTACAGGGTCCATTTGCCAGATGATAGCTGTGTGTCTACAGCACCCACTGGAGTAGTAAACACAAAAAAAAAAAATATGGTTGGCAAGAGGAGCCAAAAATAGTTGTATGGTGGTTGAAAACCATTTTACCATGTGTTTTAGCTCTGTGGTCATCATTTTATATATATGGTAAACAATGGGGACATTGTATCCTAGAATTGGATCTAGGTTTAAAGAAACAATGTTATAATTATGTGAAAGTCTGTTAATTTTTTCAAGATTATTTGGTGTTTATACAGTCATTTTAAAATTGTTATCACCATGATTTTATTCCCTTGTAGATTGTAGCAGTAATGAACTGTGTAACAACGGCATTTGTTTGCATGAATCATGGCGGTGCGATGGAATTGACCAGTGTGGGGATAACACAGATGAACAAAACTGTAACAGTGGGTTAGGTGAGTATAGCAACTGTTATGTTTGCATTACTTCTTCTGCTATTGCAACTGCTGTTATTGCTGTTACCACTACAATACTACTGCGTATAGACTACTGTTCCTCTATCTAAATGGTACATTAACCCTACAAGGTATTTTTATTCCAGCACCCTGACCGAGACTCTAGTAGGCTCCTTCGTTCAGATCCTCTTGTTGGGATATGCCGGCCTCTTGTCTGCAAATTTCTGGGATATCCGTCTGCAAATTTCTGGAGCCACTGGTGCCCAGGAGTTTGAATGTGTACCTGGAGGTGTTGCCTGCTACTGCACCAATACAGGGGTTTGGTCTCACATTAGGGGGTAGATTTGTGTTAAAAGATTTAAGATTGTTATTTGGGTCTTTTGAAAAGTGGTCTCAAATTTGAGGGGTCTCGGAATTAGAGGGGTCTCGAATTGGAGGATGCACTGTATATATTATTGAATGTGAATGAAATTTAAAAAATATATGCAAATGAATTTATTATTTATATAGTGTTTTCAATGTTAAAAGGACCAAGGTAAAGCATTTCTGGAGATATTGACATTTTTATTAATAAATCGTTATTCTGTCTCTTATTGCCTTGCAGTTACTAAGAAAACTCTTGGCTGGTCAGTTTTCGGTGGTATGCTTGCAGTTGTGGTTGTTGTGGTCTTGGCGATTGTATTCCTCAGGTACAAACGTGGCAAGTCTTACGGGCGTCTTGATGACTCCACTATTAATACCTAAGTCATTTCCATGGAGAACAAGCATCCTAAAAAAGAAATGATTCATTTGTTTGCAGATTATTACCCCGGTATTCTTAAAACAAACTTTTTAGTTGTAGTTTGCTAAAACTTCAAAATTACGTAGTTTTGTATTCTTAACACAAACTTCGACTAGCACTATGACTAAATCACACAAACCTTGACTAAAATACCTAAGCAGGCCAATATTTTTAGTCAGCCTAGGGTGAGGCTAAATTGCCAACATTAAATATTAACTTCCACTAAAAACATGCTTTTAATGTAACTCATGATAAAGTGAAACAAATAAAAATGAATGTGAAAGTAGGTCCAATGTATATTCGATGTGCTCAACAAAACAGATACGAAGTTCAGCTTCCAAAAGGCAAAATTAACATGTTTTGCTAGCCACATGTGATAGTTCTTGATTTTGCAAGAAATCCCCTTTTGTTGCGGTCAAGTAGCTTTACACCGTAACAGCAACAAAGATGGTGCCGCCCTCGATTGGCGTATATTAGTTCTCCTAATAAAGCAATTTTTCAGTGACTGATAAAATTTGCTATCATTATGTTAACAACTATATGGTTATTATTATAGAAAATTAATTGAGCGAATGATGGTCTAATATGAATTTGAGGAAATATGTTGTTTTTGAACAATAGACTGCAGCTTAATATTCATCCGCATTACGTGATATCAAAATTTTGTCTGCTATTAAAATGAGCTCTTTTCATTGGATAGTTTGATAGTCATTGTTTGCCAGCCGTCTTCAGTTGAACTAAAACTAGGACTTGATTTAGTCGTAATTAGAACTTCGACTATGGTGTTTATGAATAGAAGTTGAAATTAGGACTAAATGAAGTTCTAGTTCAAAGTTTGACTAAAGCTTGTTTTAAGAATTTCTAGATTAGGAAGACATTCACAATATTGTATTCTTTTTATGAATTAAGTAGTGTATGGTAGGTAATTATGTAGGTAGCAGAATAACATTTTTTTTTTCATCACTTAAAGTAACCTCCTCTTTTATTTCTATTATTTTCAGGAGTAGGGATTAGCATGTCTTTAGGGTTAGATTAAGTATTAATTTCTTGGTCCAATTTTCTTCACGTTTATGTTAAGCGCTTAGAGGTCTGTATAAGTAGTCTTAGTAAGTCTAAATTGTTTGCTTCAGAGGTTCTCTCCCTATTAAGCCATTATCTAGGCCAGGGGATGGGCATAAAAATGGGTAGGAGTGCCAAACTGTATCTTTAATATCATGTCGATGGCCGCAAGCAAACTTGTCGTGAAAATCATAAAAATTTTACATTTAATTTGTTTGCAAATACCTTCATACACTGTTTTTTTGACTGCTTTATGCTATGTTTTAATGTTATGTTTTACAGATGTCCAATGTCTGTATTAACAAGAAGGGGTTTTATTAGCCAATGATGTTAGGTGGGCCACACACATAGGAATTGTAATTCTTTCAAGGGCCACAACAAAATTAACTTCAGCCCTCATTTTGCCCACCTGACAAAATGTTTCAGACAGTATACTGTATAAGTAAACTAATGTTAAAATATTGCACTCTTCAATCGGAGATTCACTTGAGCAGCAGGGCATTTGTGGAAACAAAAATTGACTATGTTTGTAATCAAAAGAAAGAGTACTTTCTCCTATCTACAAATTTCTCCACTCCTTGAATAATTCCCTGCTGGCATCATAATGACAGAGCTAAACAATTATATGGGTAATCTTGATTAGTATAGTTTCAATTGATCAAAGTAAAGTACTTAAGCCTATTCAATAAATTTAAATTTACTGGCTGCTTCTTATGGAGTATTGAACAAGGAATATAATAGTTGCTTTAACCTCCTATTAGATGGTAATCATTGGTAGAGATTGTTTAAAGGATGAGGGACATTAGCAACCATACCCAAGGAGCAGAGCTAAATACAGTTGAATGAAAACATATTTTTGTCACTATTTAAGATATACATTAGAAATATCATTCCTGTATTTTAGCATTTACTCTTACCTTGCTGGGGTCAATTTAGATTTCTTGCAGTAAAAGTAACAATGATAATATATTGTAAATTAAAGCATTGTAAATGCTTTAATTGAATATTTGATTGTTATTTTTCCTAAAATTCGAGACCTATCTTCATTATGAAGAAATGATGTTTATTGTAATGCATATACTCAGAGAATGAGGCTAAACTATTTATTATATAGCAATATAAATTAGATGTTACTGTTATTGTGTTGATATTAACATATACTACCATATAATGTGTATTTAGTTATTGATTTGCTTCAGTAATTATTGTAATATGTACACTAATTTCACATGTGGATAAACAATGCAAAACTGAAATATTTTTGATTGGTAGTGCTTTGCTTGAATTTATGGAATAAGCTTATTGTTGTAATAACAAGAGTGTTTTAAGATAAGATTTCAATTATAACAACACTTTCAAGTTAATGAAATTGACTTTTAGGTAATATGGTTGTTAATCTTTGGAAACAAACCAGTGACTTTTAGGTAATTATTTTGATTTATTTTTAGATATGTTTACACAAACAAAACAAAAGACATTGTATATGTTAACTCACCGTTAACAGTGAATACTATACTTGTTTACACAGAATTTTTTTCTTGAATTTCAACTCTAACATTAAAGGAAATTCACATTGAAGTTTTAGCTGGTAAAATTATGCACAATTGTTGGTATAATAAAGAGCGTCGTTTATTCAATTGTCAGTGTTTTTTTTTTTTGCATTTCATATTATGTATTTGATGTGATTAAATTTTTGAACCATGGTGGTGCAAAGTTTATATGACTTTTTTAGTATAATGTGGTGCCATAATATGCAATTACATGTTTCAAATTAGAATTATTTTGCTGTCCCTGCTCAAAAGGTCTCTATGCACTAAGTTCATGCATTGAGGAATTAGTTTAGCTAATTTCTCTGTGGTTCCTGCAAGGCTTAGTAGGGGTTTTTTGTCATGTTTTCATATAATGATGACATAGATTCTTTATCATTTTATATTAAATTGACCTAAAAATGAGTTACAGTTTAATTATAACTAATTTATAACAATAATTTGTAATGCAAAAAATAATTCATTTAAGATATGAAATTAATTTAAATATGTAATTCAAACTACAAAATTTGTGTATGTTCCCGATATTGTTTCTTATTCGAGTGCAATATTAATGACCAAATATTCTTCTTTTTTTAATATCGAGCTTTCTATCGGATGCACAAGATAGAATACTATTAATAGATGCTACTAAATTAGAAATCAGGGTGCAGGCTGTCCAGATAGATTAGAATCCTATATCAAAATACACAAAACAGTGACCCCGTAACAGGGGTCAGCTGCAGTGTTAAAAGATTGCCCCACGAGTGACGGAAAAGTGTCCCTTTATAGGAGTGTCCCAAAGGAGGAATTCTACTGTATTTGTAATATTGCCCAAATTCCTGTCACGTTTCTAGGTGTATGTTATTTCTTGACTGGGATTTTCCATGCCTATATTTTGTTATGACGTACACTATCTAGATATTTCCTTGTAAAATACTATTCAGTTCGTAGTCAATAGCCTTTACTTGATGTGACAAAGCTGTTGTGTCTAATGATTTTTACTCAATGCAATATCCATATTGGACATTGTTGATCAAAAGTGTGAATGAGTCAGGAATTTTGATTCCTTAATACCGGTAATCTACGGCAGAATTTGTTTTTTTTCCCCTTACCATTTCCTTATTCGAGATGAATAATTTCAATGTTTTTTTTCCTAAAAATGGCTTCCCATATGTTTACTGATGGTGATCCCCTCCTGTTTGCTAATGGCTAATATATTTCCCGGGGTAAGTTACACAAAAGGGGGCACAAAATTACGGTGTTACCTAGTGGGGTTTCCTGCTAATTACTGTACGCCAATTCGGTAGCTACTCACTGAAACGCAATACCCAGAGGTAAAAAGCGTTTCGTAATCTGCAATGAAAAGCGCCGTCCAAGTACTATCAAGTAACAAGAAATGTGAAATTTCAAGATAATTACACTATTATTGGATCCATATGAATTTATTTTAAGAAATACTAAATAGTCATGATTTTAAAGGCTCTAATTTATATTGCCCTATGTTTAGTAATTAGATTTTGAAATATAAGGAACTATTTGACCATTATAATGAAACAGGAGTACCAAAACAAAATTTTAAAAAGAATTAAAATCTAAGGCGCACACTTGCTACCTATCAATATATTTCGGAGGAACAGCCAACAACGGACTAGGAAAGACTACTACACATTCTACTCTGAGTAACTTTGAATGAACGTAAAATTTTGACTAAGATATTATACGTAAGGCCTTCGTAAGAGAGCAGAGGTTTGATCTGACAGAAGGCCTACGTTTGAATTATTGTATATAGGCCTATGTATTTTAATTAAATTTAAAAGAGGGCCCTGAAAATCAAATGGCATTCGGGCTCAACTGAAAGGGTTACCCTCTATAAGTAAAGGAATGGAAAAAATTCATCTCCCATTTGGATACGGTCGGCACAACGATTTAGGCTTGGTACTATTTTTATACCAATGTTTCAATATATACATTCAGTTATATTCTTTAATAGTCGTACATCCCAGAATGGATGCATTCATGTGTATCTTGTTTGCATATTAAAAGGTGTTCTATTCTAAATGAGAAAAAAATCCATAACTATTACTGGTTATGAACCAAAATAGGAAGAGAATCATTTTTGTTTCGCTTTAGCGGCCGTTGTTGAAACCAATTATTCACCGCACGGAAACGATTGCACAAAGAAGCCATAATTATACAAGGTATCTGTTTTGTTTGATTTTTATTAAATATACATTTCTGATAAAGTTTTAATATAGAATTATAGTATTGTGATGCAAAATGTTTTGAATTTTACTGCATGTTATTTCACAAGATACGCATATAAACTATTGGCACGGTATAGAAGTTTAGGAGACTTCAGGTATCAAATGACGAACTGTAGCTAACGGTGTATTGAAAAAAACTATATATATAGTATAGGGTATAGGCATACTTTGAGCTATTTTCGCTGTGTATTGTGTAAATGAAGATAAAGTTTGGGAAGTGTGGGATTTTTATTGTAACTATTTGGGTCGCTGCAACACTTTTCAATCTAGGCCTCACTTGTTTGTGTTTTTCCCCTACCATTTACTTTTTTAGTGAAAATTTGAAATACTAGAAGACGCTATTTGTGACTATATTTGACTATTAATTTAGCTGGAAATTGAATCTCCAATTGTATGTTTATCTAGGTTACTTACCTAACAGCAAAGACGCTATACGAGATGTGTAATAACCACGAGAAACTAAAACTAAACAAAAGGAAAAACAAATTTAAAATCAAAAGAAGCATTAGAAAATATAGACTGCCATACACTCTTAAACATTTGAAATATTTTTTGGTGACATAGTCAACAACAACAGAGTGTAAAATTGCACATCTTACCACTAAAAAAAATAAAATCAGAGGGGAAGTTAACACTGTTATATATATATATATAAAAAAAAAAAATATATATATATATATATTATATATATATATATATATATGATATTGAAGGGAGTATATATAATATATATAATATACGACAGTATTTGTAGCCGTATTGCCAGATTTATCTCTTGAGGCGTAGCATTGTGTAATACAATGTTCCCGACGGTTATTTGGACCTGTTCAACCATGAAGCCTTCGTGGTCTAGTGGTTATGACGCTCGCCTTGTCAGCGAGAGGTCGCAGGTTCGAATCCCGTCGGAGGAATTTTATCACACAATTACTTTTATAGGACTTCATTCGTTAAAAAGCTACAGGGTAGCCTACGATGTTCCATCATGTCCTTATTTAAAGACTGTATATGTACCTTTGATGATTTATATATATATAAACTTTTGAGAGGTGTATTGTCTAGTATTGCCAAAAGTAGTTTATTGAGTACACGAACATTTTCGGGCATCGCCCTTCATCAGGTATACGTAGATATAAATAAATATGAGTATAAATAAATATAATGCGGACGTAAGATGAGTGACATAAGAAAAAAAGGAGCGTGATAAAACAAAAGATCGGGTAGCGTGGCTATGAAAGCTTAAACAATACCTTAAGGGCGTAGTTGATAATAAACTAGCCAATCAGAGTAGTAGTACGGTAAGATATAGAACTATATGATAAAAAATATATAATATATATATATATATATAATAATAATATACAAAAGCTTTCAATACAGTATTCAGCAAAGGCGTTCATGGTCAAGTGATAATTTTACTCAATGCAATATCCACAGGTTGTTATGTCATACTTTGAGCTATTTTCGCTGTGTATTGTGTAAATGAAGATAAAGTTTGGGAAGTGTGGGATTTTTATTGTAACTATTTGGGTCGCTGCAACACTTTTCAATCTAGGCCTCATTTGTTTGTGTTTTTCCCCTACCATTTACTTTTTTAGTGAAAATTTGAAATAGAAGACACTATTTGTGACTATATTTGACTATTAATTTATAGCTGGAAATTGAATCTCCAATTGAATGTTTATCTAGTTCACTTAACAGCAAAGACGCTATACAAGATGTGTAATAACCACGAGAAACTAAAACTAAACAAAAGGAAAAACAAATTTAAAATCAAAAGAAGCATTAGAAAATATAGACTGACATACACTCTTAAACATTTGAAATATTTTTTGGTGACATAGTCAACAACAACAGAGTGTAAAATTGCACATCTTACCACTAAAAAAAATAAAATCAGAGGGGAAGTTGTCAATGAATAAATAATTATCCAATAAAGACCAGTAAAAAAGCACGTAAAACTAGACTTACTATATCTGTTTGTAAAACAGAACATTGCTGCTTTTCTTTAATGCTATAATAAAATATGAAATTGAAATTGCAACAAAAAAAGTCGTTAAAATGTGTAAAGTAAAAAAAAACAACAAAAACAGAAAACCAAAATACTTATAATACTAAAAAAAATATGGATTAAAAAACACACAATGAAAACCAAGTTCACAACTACTGCTACTTTGATGCGAGGTTTACTTCTACGATTTATAGGCCAGTGCCTTTTTCGTTCATAGCGATTCAGCGACTGAAAGCAACAATTGTATATTATATGCATGTCACGGTAGTTTTGAGTTTAATCTAGCTGCAGTTTGTTTAAACACTTTAAAAAACGCAAATTGCGTTTATATAATTTAATCAACTGTCCCCCAAAAATATTTAAGTAATCTTCATATCCACACCTACTTCATTGAACCATGAAAAAATATTCTGCAAAGCTTCATTTTGATCCATTTATAACTGGCACGTAAGCACTTAAAATGACCCTCACATTTTACGCCCTAAACTGGATCCTCCCCGACACATAATCATTTCTAAACCGAAATTAGTTCTAACACTAAAAACCGTGGTGACAATATTTAAAAACCCGGACCAGGGGTCAAAAATGAAATGATGGTCTCTGGTGAAAACCAGGAGAGAGGAAAGGCTTTGCTTTTAATTTAATTTAATTTAATTAATTTTTTTGGTGAACCCATTATAATGTTATGCAGACAATACTCTTTTTCAGCCGAATACAATTATATTCATCTTCACGACTAGAACATTTAAAAAATGAATGAGAAAGCAGTAGAAGGTAACGTAAACAAAATAATATATTAGTTTACATACATTTTAATATAATTACCTCATAAGCCTATATATTTCAAAATATTCTATTTGGTATGGTGGCGACAATAATATGGTGGTGATAAGATGATGGATGATGATGATAATGACGAT